ACTTCAGGCCAATATCCATGATGAACATAGATGCAAAAATCTTCAATAAAATACTAGCAAGCTGACTGCAACAGCACATCAAAAAGCTTATCGATCACGATCAAGTAGGATTCAACCAGGGATGCATACCCAAGTCTATAAACGTAATTCACCACATAAACAGAACCAAAGACAAAAACCACATGATTATCTCAATAGACGCAGAGAAGGCCTTTCACAAAATTCAACAGCCCTTTATGCTAAAAACCCTCAATAAACTAGGTATTGATGGAACATATCTCAAAATAATAAAAGCTATTTACGACAAATCAACAGCCAATATCATACTGAATGGGCAAAAACTGGAAGCATTCCCTTTGAAATCTGGCACTAGACAAGGATGCCCTCTCTTACCACTCCTATTCAATATAGTACTGGAAGTTCTAGCCAGAGCAATCAGGCAAGAAAAAGAAATAAAGCGTATTCAAATAGGAAAGGAGGAAGTCAAATTGTCTCTATTTGCAGACGACATGATTGTATATCTAGAAGACCCCATCGTCTCAGCCCAAAATCTCCTGAAACTGATAAGCAACTTCAGCAAAATCTAAGGATACAAAATCAATGTGCAAAAATCACATGCATTCCTATACACCAATAACAGACCTAAAGAGAGCCAAATCAAGAACAAACTGCCATTCACAATTGCTACAAAGAGAATAAAATACCTAGGAATACAACTAACAAGGAATGTAAAGGACCTCTTCAAGGAGAACTACAAGCCACTGCTCAACAAAATGAGAGGACACAAACAGATGGAGAAACATTCCATGTTCATGGTTAGGAAGAATCAATATCGTGAAAATGGCCATACTGCTCAAAGTAATTTACAGATTCAACACTATCCCCATTAAGGTACCAATGAGGTTTTTCACAGAACTGGAAAAAAACACCTTAAACTTCATATAGAACCAAAAGAGAACCCACATAGCCAAGTCAATTCTAAGCAAAAAGAACAAAGCGGGAGGCATCACACTACCGGACTTCAAACTATACTACAAAGCTACAGTTATCAAAACAGCATGGTACAGGCACCAAAACAGATATAGACCAATGGAACAGAAGAGAGGCCTCGGAGGCAACACAACATATCTACAACCATCCGATCTTTGTCAAACCTGACAAAAACAAGCAATGAGGAAAGGATTCCCTGTTTAATAAATGATGTTGGAAAAACTGGCTATGTGCAGAAAGGAGAAACTGGACCCCTTCCTGACACCTTACACTAAAATTAACTCCAGGTGTATTAAAGACTTAAACATAAGACCTAACACCATAAAAACCCTAGAAGAATATCTAGGCAAAACCATTGAGGACATAGGCGTAGGCAAGGACTTCATGATCAAAACACCAAAAGCATTGGCAACAAAAGCCAAAATAGACAAATGGGACCTAATCAAACTCCACAGCTTCTGCACGGCAAAAGAAACAGTCATTAAAGTGAATCGGCAACTAACAGAATGGGAAAAAAATTTTGCAGTTTACCCATATGACAAGGGACTGACATCTAGAATTTACAAAGAACTAAAACAGATTTATAAGAAAAAAAGCGCATTCAAAAGTGGGCAAAGGATATGAACACACACTTTACAAAAGAAGACATACATGAGGCCAACAAACATATGAATCAATGCTCATCATCACTGGTCATCAGAGAAATGCAAATCAAAACAACACTGAGATACCATCTCACACCAGTTAGAATGGAGATCATTAAAAAATCTGGAGACAACAGATGCTGGAGAGGATGTGGAGAAATAGGAACACTTTTACACTGCTGGTGGGAGTGTAAATTAGTTCAACCATTGTGGAAGACAGTGTGGCAATTCCTCAAGGACCTAGAAATAGAAATTCCATTTGACCCAGCAATCCCATTACTGGGTATATATCCAAAGGATTATAAATCGTTCTACTATAAGGACACATGCACACGAATGTTCATTGCAGCACTGTTCACAATAGCAAAGATCTGGAACCAACCCAAATGCCCATCCATGATAGAATGGACAGGGAAAATGTGGCACATATACACCATGGAATATTATGCAGCCATCAAAAAGATGAGTTTGTGTCCTTTGTCGGGACATGGATGAACCTGGAAACCATCATTCTCAGCAAACTGACACAAGAGCAGAAAACCAAACACCGCATGTTCTCACTTATAGGCGGGCGTTGAACAATGAGAACACATGGACACAGGGAGGGTGGCATCACACACTGGGGTCTGTCAGGGGAAAATAGGGGAGGGACAGCAGGGAGTGGGGAGTTGGGGTGAGATAGCATGGGAAGAAATGCCAGATATAGGTGATGGGGAGGAAGGCAGGAAATTACACTGCCACGTGTGTACCTATGCAACAATCTTGCATGTTCTTCACATGTACCCCAAAACCTAAAATGCAATAATATATATATATATATATTTAAAAAATAAAAAATAAAAGAAATAAAAATAGAAAAAATAACATAAAAAAAGAAAAAAAAAAAAAAGAACTCTTAAGGTATTTTGCTTTCTTAGACTTTACCAGGACAGTTTCTTGTAAAACAAAACTACTGAAAACTAAGATGTTGATAATTTACCTAATTGACACACCTCTTTTTGTATATAATAGATAAACCAAAGTCGAGCAACTCTCTTCCACACAAGCAAACCAAAACCACCGGTAAAAGGGGACACCAAACAGCCCCCATGCCGGACACTCCAGGTCCCACTGTTCAAGGTTGTGTGGAGCAGCAGCACTGCCCACCACCCAGTCCTGTGAGGACTAACTATTGACTTTCTAAGGATGCGTCACCTCTTCCTGACTGGACCAAGCACCTTATCTTTACTAAGTATATATCAAAATCATAATGTACAATAAATTATGAGAATATTCTTCTTAGCTCCTTTACAGGAAAAATCATCTAATGACAAGAATTATGTATTAGGAGATAATACTTTCCTTCTCATCCTGTTTGTTTTTAACCTTTCATTAAATATAAAGCTCTTTAAGGACTGAAGTTACTTAGCCCTGCAACAACAGCAGTGACCAGACAATAAATCTGAGGTATTAATTATGATGTTTAAGCATCCAAGAATTTTATCACAATACAACAGTTTAATGTTCACTCTCATATTACTTTGAAATGTGTGGGCATAAAGACAAACACACTTTTAACTGAAAGATAATACAAATGTGTTAAAGAACAAACTGTCATAACAATGTTCAGTGTATTGCCAAAGTGTTTGAGAATTACAGTAGTAAAGATATCCCTGCTGCCAGTAAAAACAGACACCAATATGTCTTGAAACAGATAGGCAAGTATATATTGCTTTCCTGCATGCTTTCTATTTGAGGCAAAAAGACTAACTTGGCCCTTGAGTATTATGGAATTTCTAGCAGCTGTCACCCTATTCTGAAATTCTAAAATGAAATTAAATATGCATTTGGTAGTGTTAATATAAAATATGCTTTTCACTATTCCCTCTAGGGTAACAAGGATTAAAGCAACAGAGACAGTTGTCATCAGGCTGTTTTCTACTTATCTATTGACTCATTTAGTGCAAAACAAATTCTATTAATAGTCTTTATTCCATATGGAAAAGTACAGTAGTTGTGCAGAAACAAAACTAACAAGAGTAAGACTTCCACAAATATTAAAATAAATAAGCCATAGTAGTTACAGCAAAACTCATGGAAAGCCTATAAAAACGATAAAGCTGTTCACACAAAGTACAGCTGTACACACAGGCAGGAACAAACGTTGAAGAATGACATCAGAGGTCCCTATTCGTACAAAACCACGATGATGTTCACAGGAACTTCATTACAGCGATTCATTTTTAAAACATTCTGCAAATATATAACTTCCTTTTCCTCAATTTTAGAAAATAAATTTCACACCCCAACATATAAAACAAATACACTCCTACCTCTCTCAAATTAGCATTTTAACATCCTCCAATAACACACCATTTTCATATAAAAATACCTTTAAGCCAAGGTTCATTCCTGTACCTTATCTTTACAAATGAAAAATACATCAGCTTAGACTTAAGTAGCACCTCAAAGGTGTTCATATAAATGAGATAAAGTGCTGTTACTGGTATATTGTTAACATGCCATAATAATATATCATTCAGTGCAATAACCAGCATGGATGAAGCTTACAGAGAACATGCAAATCATGACTGGGGTTTTCTCTGTAGGTGAACTACACTGAAATAGTTATATTTACAAGTCTGAATAAAATTGGGCTATTTAATATATACAACATGTGACTATAAAGTACTATTGTACAACAAAACAAAAGCAACAACCAGCCCTACGTTTAGTATCTGAATTAAATACTGTCTTTAGAGGAGCTTGGAAGATTGTTCCAGGAGCACTACCATTGTTAAAAGCAGTTTGGAAAACACGTGAGAGCTAATTTGTAAGCGCCACTAAGATTGCTGGTCTTAGTATTTTTGCTTGAATCCACTTGACCACCAGTCATGATTCCAAATGGCTTATACTGTTTCCAAATCTCAAAACACCTTCAAGCACAAATACAGGTTCCAAAAAAAGGTGCTATAAAAATATACGAATAAGATCCGTAACGCAGAAATAAGTGTTTAATCCCCTTACAGGAACTGCTATGAAGGGAACAATACTTAGGGTGTTCTCATATTTTGCTTTAAAAAAATTTGGCTATATTATGTTTACAGTCACACATTTAGCTAGGAATCACTCAGAACTTAACTTTTATGTATATATAAAATGGGATTTGACTCAATGGAACTGTAACTGTAGTTACATCGTTTCCAGATACATCACTTGGATATTATGTCATGAGTTCAACCAGTCACTCTTTAACAATTAGACTTACTGACAGTACTTATTCTCTAAGTACTATAATTTTGCCACATAGCAAAGGCAAGGAGGAAAGTGGCAAAGCCAAACAATTTTTTAAGTGAAAATCATTAATGTCTTCTGGGCTGTCTTAGAATTTTAACTTGATATAGTTTTCAGTTCTGCTTAGCATTCTTATTTATTGTAACTTCTAGCTATTAAAGAAGTGTTATCCCACGTTTTAGATATATCAGTGGCATCAGATCCACCCCCAAGGAAAAAGAAAATGGCTAAAAAACTTTTCTGATGAAAAAACTATTTAATTTACCACCAGGAGTCAACAACACACTTTTCCAAATTCCACAAATGGGGCTTTCTTAAGGCTCACACATTTGACTCTATGAACGATCGCTTTGGTTTTGCTGCAGTGAGGTGGCTCCTGTGGGCTTCATTACTGATATGAGGCTGCTGTTTGGAGATACTTTCCTGGTACAGATGAGAAACAGTCTTAGTTATCCTGTTCTCTTGACAGTGGACTGGAATTTGGCACTTGTTTTCTTCTAGCTCCTTCACCTGTGCCCCATTGTGGACACTTGTTTTGGCTTGATTATTATATCCTCCCACTTGCATGAGAGATGTCTTTTCAGTGTTAGCAGACTGCAGGCCAGCTGCAGAAGACGTGTTTGTCAGCAGCCCCTCTGCCGCCGGACAGTGCCATGCGCGGCCTGGAGGATTGCTCTGCTGTTGGAACCTTGCAGTCTTATCCATGATGCCCATGAACGGCGTGTTGCGGGGTCTGTGCTCCGCTGTACTGCTCTGAACGTGGGTTACAACCTTGTCTTTAATTCGAGTATCTGGTCCTTGGACCTTGAAGCCATCTGAAAAACTGCTGCTCGAAGTCAAACTACTGGTTGAACTTGACATCTTTATGCTGCTGGATGGAGAACCAGAAGAGCCTGAGCTGGTAAGGGAAGCCGGGTGTCGCATGTCACTGCAGGTCGCCAGCCCACCTTGGTTTGGAGCAGCTGCATCCACAGCCGCGGAGGCATGAGACAGAAGCCTCTCTGTGGTTTTTGTCTTACCTGGTAAAGGGTGTGCAGGGACACTCTCACCGCGCTGCAGGCGGACATTCTGGCTGGGGCCTGGCCGATCCCCAAAGTGGCCACAACCAGCTCCTGTAGTGAAAGTACCTGCTCCCTCCAAATGCGGGATTCTGCTCCCAGCAGGAGCGGCAGCAATTCTCCCTGGCATGGGACTCGGAGGAGGGTTCTGAGAAGAGATGTGAACTTTGATGCTGCCATTTCTCGCAGCAGGCTGGCCAGAGCCCAGGTGCTGGCTGGTTTTCACGATCTGGGCCTGTTTGGAGGGTTGCAGGACCAGCCCAGGCTGGGCCACAGGTTCTCTTAGGAGCTTGCCAATTCCTGCCCTGCTCTGTGGCGATACAGACCTTCCTTTGGACTGTAACCCTTCTTGAAGGTTTCGGATGTATGAAGAAGGGACCGATGAGGATGGCTGGGATCTGGGAGTCAGGGAAATGGATTCTTCCTGGGGAGAAGTTTCTTCCTCTTCAATCTCCTCAGGGTGAAAGTGGTCACTTAACCCAGGGGTCGGGGCGTCCTCTTCATTCTCGGAGTCATTGGGTGGAGCTGGTGGCGGGCCCTGCTGTTTCTGCTGTTGACTCCTCTGGAGTTGCTTGCACTCCTCTTCTACGCGGGCCAGAAGCCTCTTGATTTCCTGATTGTTGGGACAGAGTTTCACAGCCTCCTGCAGGTCAGCCAGAGCTGCCACAAATTGCCTTTGTAGGAAAATGTAAGGTAACATTACAAGCCACACATGAACATGCTCAGAGTGGAACTGTTCATAAAACAGCTGTGCTCAAAGGAAACAGAAGGTAGCAAGTGAGTTTTGAACGCTTACAGTGCTGGCCAGGACCCATTTAACAGCCCAGAGTTACTCAGCTAAGTGGCAGTGCTGAATTCTAACCTAGATGGGCGTGACTCCACAGCACTGCTCTCCATAAAGACTACTGGGCCGGGAATAAGGGGAAGCATGAATCAGTGGGTGCCAGAATCCTTTTAATATTATTACCATCTCGTGGTAACACTGCCCTCCTCTAACACAACAAGCTCATACAACCCCTCCCCTTCATGTCCTCCTAGTGCCCCTAGCTGGCAGTTTCCCTGAAATATGGACTAAATTAGGTAGGAAGTTCATGTTGTAGTAAGTTTCACCCGGGACAAGCGATGGGGAGGAGTAACTATTGAGATGTCAGGAGAAAACGGCTGTTTACCCATCACTGATAATGTCCCACTATCATGCCTCTTCGAAGCAGGTAGTAATAGTAATTCAGTACTTAAAAGGATGAGAGGCACCTGAGCAACACTTCTGTAGCAAAGCCTCCCCAAATGCAACAGGCAGGTTTGATCCCACAGGAAAAAAACTTTCTCTAGACACAAAAACAACCACGGACGGTACCTGCTGTTTCTCTTTGCTCTTGCTCTGGCATAAAAGGCTTCATAGGACTTGGGCTTCAATTCGAGAGCCTTGGAAGCAAATTCCTCTGCCATGCCAAAGTCCTGGTGTCAACAAGAAATACAGGAGTCAGAAGCAACATAGATACATGATGATGGGAAGCCTTTCCTAGTTTTGTTCTAAAGGATAGCAGAACGCTGAGGCACAGCCAGAAAGGGAGGAGGTAATGACAGTTGATTAATATCATTAAGAAAAGAATCTGCCACAGAAAACAGTGATAGTGACAGTGCCCCAGAAGGCCAGAGGGTGGACCCTCACACCCCAGTGGAGGGGCAGCCTCAGAAAGGAACCTAGATGCTAGGTCCATTCTGGCAGCGGAGCACAGAAGCGGGCAGCTCAACAGATGGGGCAGGAGGATGCAGTTCAAAAAAGGTAGGAAGTACTACTGAAACAGATCTACTAGTTACAAATTGACTATGAGTTAACCATGACTGGTTACAAATGAGTTATTGGCAGACCCTCTGAGCAAACCTAACACAGAAGGCAGGCCCACAACATGACACTAGGCTTGGGTTAGCCTTTCCTGAATCCGGGGATGGCAGTGCCGGCAGCATCACTGTTGGGAAGCTGCAGAGGAGCTGTCTGCATTTGCTTCTCATCACTGAGGCCAAGGAAATGAAACCCAAGTGGATTCCTTCAACACTGTCAGGGGAGTGGGTCACTGATAGGAGCCGTTTCCCACATGCCAGGTTCGCATCAATGTGCAAGCAAATCGGACAGGAGGGCTCAGGACTGGGTCCGAGGAGGGCTCAGGACTGGGTCCGAGAAGGGCTGGGCTTCACCGCTGGGGAAGGGCTCTGCTGCTGGAGGACTGGGTTGGAATAAAGGGGCACAGCTTACGTTTGTTTTTCTTCGGCATCGAGACAAACTGAGATAGAGGGAAACCCTTAATTCGTTGAAGGGTCTCATGTCCTCTCCGACTCCTTCTCGAGGAAACTTCCTTAAGGCATACTGGTACCTCTGGGCTGCCTCTTTCATCTTCCCTTTCTAGGATTCAAAAATCACAAACATTTGTCCTTTTTCAGAGGCTCTAAGATGAATAATCTCCCACACCCGGAACACCCTGGGGAGTTTCTTCCCCCCCTGCAAACCCATGATCATTGAAAGCAATCCGAGTCAGTGTCAAGATGGGAGCTAGTTCACTAACTGGGCTGACGCACACGGGCTTCACTGTCCTCACATGCACCTGCAGCCTGTGATTCCACAGTGAGAAAGAAGCCGGTTTTATAATAAGGTGTCTGTAAACTGCTAAATTGGTAACTATCAATCTTAATGGATCAGATATCTTCTGGTATGTATTTTTGAAAATTATTTCAAGAATGATCTCACATCTAAAGACATTTTAATGCTAAGTGTAATAGAAATCAGATGAAAAACTGATCCCATTCCTAGGACAAGTGGTATCTTGTAGATAGACCTAGAGAGCTTGTTGCAGAATAATAATTTTTCTTTCAAGAGGAACTAAAACATGGGCTTTAAAAAGCAGAACAGCACCACACATCATTTTCAAAGCTAAAAAATCCATTTGCTCAGTCAGTCCCATTGCACAGTGGGTATGAAGCCTGTTGAAAATGGCTTTGTATTTCTAACATAATTGCCTACCAAAATCCATATTAAAAGCACTTCAAGGCCACAACAGTACACACTCTCAACTCAATTTCAAACTGATTCCAAGCCAGGAACCCTGCTGGGTCATGCTATATTACCTATTTATTTGTTACTATTTTAAAAAATGAAAAGGAAAAAATCTACAACATAGCAAGTACAGCTGCCTAACAGTAAAAAGGATTAACATGGTCATAATCTAGTTTTTCCCCAATAATCTTTTAATTCTGTCTAATCACAGAACTGCAAAGAATAGTGACCTATGCAAATGGCCTGCATATCTATCTAAACCAGGGGCTGGCAAACCATGGCTTGGAGGCCAAGTCTGCTGGCCACCTGTGTTTACAAATAAAGTTTTATTGGGCCACAGCTTTGTTCATTCGCTCTGTGTTCTCTGTGGCTGCTTTTTACCCCTACAGCAGAACTGGAGAGTTGTGACAGAGGCCACACAGTCTGTAGAGCCTGAAACATTACTGTCTGGCCTTTAAAAATAAGTTTACTGACCTCTGAGCTAAATTGATGTCTTATTTGGAAAAATTTAAAGTGCAGTTTATTGATCTGTAAATCATATTTCCATTTTTGAGGGAAAATAAATTAATTCAGTCTCCTGAATAACTGAGGTATTACTTGACTGTATTAAGTGTATTAAGTGTATCTCTAAAAACGGTTTCAAATTCCAGACATTCATTAGACAGGAAAGGCTCAGGAGATGGAGCGAGCCTTTTCTTCTGGACATGACTGCTGGGTGTTCCCCTCCTATGCCTCATCACTGTGCCTCAGTGTGGCGGTCTTAACTCAGAACATGAAGGGCTGAGGAACATCCTCTATGGCGTTCAGTTGACCTAAAGGTGACTTGGCTTCATGCCATGGCTTCAGGCAGTAGGCCACCACTACAACCTCAAGGATTAGCTCAGAAATAATGGCTCTCAGACACAAACAGAGGTGTTTTCTACCTTTAAGATTCTGCCGGAAAGATATTAAGCCAACCAAGGGCGTGAGGCCAGGTCAGCACCTCTTGGCATCTTTTTTTTTTTTGAGACTGAGTCTTGCTCTGTTGCTGAGGCTAGAGTGCAGTAGAGTGCAGTGGTGCCATCTCAGCTCACTGCAACCTCCACCTCCTAGGTTCAAGCAATTCTCCTGTCTCAGCCTCCCGAGTAGCTGGGATTACAGGTGCCCTGGTAATTGTTGTATTTTTGGTAGAGACGGTGTTTTGCCATATTGGCAAGGTTGGTCTGGAATTCCTGGCCTCAGGTGATCCACCCACCTGGACTTCCCAAAGTGCTGTGATTACAGGCGTGAGCCACTGGACCCAGCCACCCCTTGGTACTTCTCGTACATGGATTCTGTGCAGTAGCACAGCTATGGCCATTATATACCCAATTAAGAGGGCGCTCTGAGGCAAAGAAAAGGGCGGCCCCACTTACTTTGTACATCACATTTCCTTCCTCCATTAATTTCTGTAAAAGTATAATCAAGATATCAGGTTTGGAAGTGGCCATCGCCCAAGCAGCATTTCCTGCAAAACAAACACGCATTCAGAGGCACTTCAGAGGCCCCAGGGAAAGGATACCAATTCCTCCGTGGCCCCACAGCTGGAGGTGAGCACCAGCACAAGCCCGCTGCAAGGACCACAATGCCGTGAGGGAGGGGCAGGATGCCAGTGAGGCTCAGCCGCTAATCCTCTCCCACTGACCTGGGTGCTCAAATCTGTCCTTGCTATTTTACTGAAAAAAGTAATGAGAGAAACAGGTATCTGAGCAGTGAAGACCCATCCCTCCCTTCCAAGTGGAATGTGGGAAAAATTGATCAAAGGAGGCCCCAGCATAATCTCCTCAGTTCACGCAGTGGTCACCGTGCAGGCATGTGGGCTTAGCACCAGGTCCCTGCGTTGTGCGTCACCACACTCTACTCCCAGATGTCTTGGCTTCTGTCTCCTACCCTACAGCTCGGCCACAACCTCTCTAACCCCTGCCTGAGCTCTCGGGACACCATGGGAAGAGTGCTAAAGAGCACAGCCCCCAAGTCAGCCTTCTAGGTTCCCACAGCGAGTACCATGTGGCAGTCCTGGGGAAAGCCATTTAGCTGCTCTGTGCCTTGGTTTCCTCATCTGTAAAATCATGGGACTGTCACGGAGAATTTCAGGGCTGTGGTGGAGACGAAGGCAGAGGGTGAAACTGCTTGGATAGTTCCTGGCACTATTCACTGCTTGACAGTATTAGTGAATAGCATTTTCACCACAGTGCTCCGCCCAGAGCTGCTCCTGACCAAGGGCCGCATACATCTAACCAAAAACAGTGACCCTCCCACATTTGGAACAGTGTGTTGTGTCAAAGCCAGTCATGTGGAAAGGGCTTTCCCTACTCAGGGGCCCCGACACGATCCTCAAGTATTACTTCTTCACGGAAACTTGCTGCGGCGGCCATTTCCCCACGTAGCTGACTGGCAGCTCTAGAACAGTGGCTGAGCGTGGGGTGCTGCTCAGTTACCTGGGGACCTTTCAGCAGCACCGCCCGGCCCCACCCCACAGTGAGGTGCTGAGCCAACTGCTCTCAGATGTGGCTCCTGGCCATTGACACTCACCACTCCAGACTGTCCTTCAACACCAGCCTCTGCTTTCCACCCCCGCAGAAACACTGTGAGCTACTTACACACTGTGGATGATGGTGATTAAGTAAGACTGAGGTGAGACTGAGAGAGATCTGCAAACATCTGACATCTTACTTCCTAACCTGGGCGCAGGGTCACTCTATGCTCTCTAAGCTCCTACAGTCGGGAGCTAACCCCTCCTCCTGCTCAATGGAGGCAGTGCTCACTGACCTAATTTGGCTCCCTTTCTGAGTAGCGCCACGACCACGGATGTGTTCCGGCAGCCGATGGCTCTGTCCAAGGGCCGCATCCCACTGTGGTCCACATGCTCGATCACGGCTCCCTTCTCCACCAGGTACAGCACCTGCAGGGATAGCAGAGGCCTTAGCAGCAACTGGGGGCAGGAGTTCAGGGGCATACGTGGATTTAGGATGGGCAGTCTTAGCTTTACTCTCATTTGAAATGCCTCTGCCTAGTAAGGATCGTAGAACAGAAATGAAGTGGACACGAAACAGAGAAGAGGAGCTGCGATCCACAGCTAGACCCTTCCCTGCTGAAGAGGTTTTGCTGTCAGTGATGAAAAAAGCAGGGCACACGCTGCCACAGGTGCATGTGTGCACACATGCTCAATCTGTCTCTCACACCACTTCCCAGGCCACAGAGACTGGACACAGTCACCTCTACATCTCCAATGGAATTAAGCAGCAGACTTGTAGAATGAGCTCCAACAAGTGAGCAGGCCACAGCAGTGGTGACTTTAGAAATACTCAGACCCACACAACCTGGCCATGGCAGACTGTGAAGATGGGCGGCTTGGGACCAGACAGATCCAAGTATATAATTATCAAAGAGATTTGAAGGAAATTGGGAAAGTAAAAATGGCAAGTTTGATACCACGGTACAAAGACTAATTTGATGTGATAAAATAGCTGTCACTTAAACTAAACAGGAAACAAGAGGAAGAACCACTGTGGCCACTCTAATTTCTCCATTTACTGGAAAAGAAGCCTGTAGCCATTTTAGGTTTTCATGTGGATCTGAAAAGATATGCTTCCAGCTGGGTACAGTGGCTCACACCTGTAATCTCAGCACTTTGGGAGACCAAGGCGGGTGGATCACGAGGTCAGGAGTTCAGGATCAGCCTGGCCAAGGTGGTGAAACCCCATCTCTACTAAAAATACAACAACAACAACAACAAAAAATTAGCCGAGCGTGGTGGTGGGCGCCTGTAATCCCAGCTACTTGGGAGGCTGAGGCAGAAAACTGCCTGAACTTGTGAGGTAGAGGCTGCAGTGAGCAGAGATCGTGCCATTGCACTCCAGCCTGGGCGGCAGAGCTAAACTTTATCTCTCACACACACACTCACACACACACACACACAAAGGAAAAAGAAAAAAAAAAAAAAAAGACATGCTTCCTATCATCCACCCCACTATTCAATGACACTAACTAGAGGGGTTACTATCTATATAAAGAACTACAACTCAACTACAAAACCCAAATAACCTCATTTTAGAATGGGCAAAGGACTTGAATAGATTTCTACAGAGATGATAGGTGAGTGGCCAACAAGCATATGAGAAGATGTTCAGCTCACACCCATTACGATGGCTACTACCAAAAAAGCAAGTATTGGCTGGGTGCAGTGGCTCACGCCTGTAATCCAAGCACTTTGGGAGCCCAAGGTGGGCTCAAGAGTTTGCGACCAGCCTGTCCAACATGGCGAAATCTTGTCTCTACTAAAAATACGAAAATAAGCCAGAGGTGGTGGCACATGTCTTCCTCTAGTCACTCAGGAGGCTGAAGCAGGAGAATCGCTTGAATCCAGGAGGCAGAGGTTGCAGTGAGTTGAAATCCAGCCACTGCACTCCAGCCTGGGTGACAGAGCAAGACTCCATTTCAAACAAACAAACAAACAAATAAGTATTGGTGACAATGTGGAGAAATTCTGGAACCCTTGTGCACTGTGGTGTGAATGTAAAATGGTGCAGCAGCTGTGGAAAAACAATAGGGCAGTTCATCAAAAAATTAAAAACACAATCACTGTGTGAGCCACAGATTCTGCTTCTGGATATATACCCCAAAGAACTGAAAGCAGAGTCCTGAAGAAATACTTGGACACCCACATTCACAGCAGCATTATTTACAGTAGCAAAAAACATAGAAGCAACCTAAGTGTCCAGTGACAGATGACTAAACAACACGTGATATATATGTACAATGGAGCATTATTCATCCTTAAAAAGGAAGGAAACGCTATTCTAACACAAGCTTCAACATGGGTGAACCTGGAGGACATTATGGTAAGTGAAATAAGCTGGTCACAAAAAGACAAAAACTCTATGATTCCACTTACATGAGATATCTAAAGGGGTAAAAAGCTCAGAGACAGAAAGTAGAGTGGTGGTTGTGATGGGCTGGGGGAGGTGGAGAGTTGTAACAAATACAGTTTCACCTTTGCAAGATGAAAAGTTCTGCATACTGGTTGTGAATATGCTTCAACTACTGAACTCTATGCTTTGAAATGATTAAGGATAAATTTTATGCTATGTATTTTTGCCACGATATTAAAAAAATAATGTTAGAATGCTAAGTTCCTTCACTCTTCTCTACTTATGATAAACTGCAGAGTTTGGGGAGGTAGCTGAAAAATAAGTGTAGACATGTGAGATTTAGTTGGATATGTTTTTGTAAATTGACATGAAGTAGAGTTTACAAGGTACAGGAAGTTGATACCATTTAACCCTGACAGCACTGCCTTCTAAAAGCCCCAAGCACACACATGCAGGGCCACAGCTTCCACTGCCAGGTCTGCAAGCACCTGTCTCTCCAGCTAGTCCTCCCGTTAGACGTATTGAACTATTGGAAGCTGACTATTCCTCTGGCACCTGCTGGATGCCTGGGGCGTGGAGCCTGACAAAGTCACAGTTTCTGCCCTGAGAGATATTTCACAGTTCTGTTTATCAAGGTTTTATTCTCTCACACCTTGATTAGACACCAGCATTTGGCAAAGAGATAAAGATAGTGCCCAAAGCTTTCCATATTTTTAGGCAACGCTGTATCACTTTAAAAACAACCAGTATATGTACATCATGAAATACTATTCAGGCTTTAAAAGAAGGAAATCCTGTCATTTGCTGCGATGTGGATCAACCTGAAGGACATTATGCTAAGTGAAATAAGCCAGGCTCAGAAAGACAGCATGATCTCATTTACATGTGGAACCTAAACAAGTTGAACTCACAGAAGCAGAGAGTAGAAAAGTGGTTACTACAGGCTGGGAGACAGACATGGGGAACAGGGAGGCATTGGTCAAAGGGTATGAAGACTCAGACAGGAGGAATAAGTTCCGGTGATCTACTGTACAGCACTGTGACTAGAGTTAACAATACCTTTTTTTTTTTTTTTGAGACCGGGTCTCATTCTGTTGCCCAGGCTGGAGTCTGGTAGTACGATCTTGGCTCACTGCAACCTCCACCTCCTGAGTTCAAGCAATTCTTGTGCCTCAGCCTCCCGAGTAGCTGGGATTATAGGTGCCCGTCACCATGCCCGGCTAATTTTTGTATTATTAGTAGAGACAGAGTTTCACCATGTTGGTCAGGCTGGTCCTGAACTCCTGACCTCAAGTGACCCGACTGCTTTGGCATCCCAAAGTGCTGGGATTACAGGTGTGGGCCACCATGCCTGGCCAATAACGTATTGCTTATTTCAAAATAGCTAAAAGGGATCTTAAATGCTGTCACCGAAAAGAAATAATATTTGAGGGATGCATATGTTAATCAGCCTGATTTGATCATTCCACAATGTATACTTGTATCAAAACATCACATTGTGCCCCATAAATATACACAATCATTTGCCAATTAAAAATAAAACTTTGGCTGGGCATGGTGGCTCATGCCTGTAATCCTAACACTTCTAGAAGGCAAGGTGGGAAGATCACTTGAGCCCAGCAGTTCGAGACCAGCCTGGGCAACATGGCGAAACCCTGTCTCTATAAAAAATTAGCCAGGTGTGGTGCTACATACCTATAATCCCAGCTATTCAGGAGGTTGAGGAGGGAGGATCTCTTGAGATGAGGAAAACAAAACCATAGTGATCACGCCACTGCACTCCAGCCTGGGTGACAGAGTAAGACTCTGCCTCAAAAATTAATAATAGGCCAGGTGCAATGGCTCATGCCTGTAATCCCAGTACTTTGGGAGGCCAACGCAGGAGGATCACGAGGTCAGGAGTTCGAGACCAGCCTGACCAACATAGTGAAACCCTGTCTCTAATAAAAATACAAAAATTACCTGGGCGTGGTGATGCAAATGCCTATAATCCCAGCTACTTGGGAAGCTGAGGCAGGAGAATTGCTTGAACCTCGGAGGCAGAGGTTGCAGTGAGCTGAGATCGCACCACAGCACTCCAGTATGGGCAAGACAGCAAGACTTAATCTCAGAAAAATAATAATAGATTAAAAACAAAACAATGTAGAAAAAAAACAGGTAGTCATTTGATTAGTCACTTACCATATATAAAAGTAGTTTCTAAATGATCTATGCAAAAGTTTTATTTATATGGATGACTGAGAAAGCCTCATAGGCACATGTGTACACATTCACTTATGTGTCTGTTGTATGTGCTGTTTGTAAGCAGCTATTTTTAAACTTTTACGATTTGACTAAAATCTTAAGTCCTCAAATAGACTGCATGTCACAGAATTAGTGAAAAATGAAAAATCCCTGACAAAACACACACACACACACACACACACACACACACACACACACACACGACACGGAGACACAACCTCATGAAGACCCTAGAGCTGTTCAGTTGCTGGGGTTTCTTTCCAATGCAGGTGGAGGGAGGGACACCTGCTGGTACTCACTGTCTCAGCATCACCATAGAAGGCGGCCAGGTCCAGGGGTGTGCGGCCATTCTTGTCTGTCTGGTCTATCGCAGCTCCTTCTTCAACCAGATACTGGACCACTGCCCTGTGACCTTTCAAACAAGCCCAGCTTAATGCTGACAGACCCTCTTTGTCTAGAGAAGAAAGGACAGCACCTGAAAGGAAAGCGCATTCATAGAACATGAACCTTATGAGATGACAAAGCCAGAAAGCAAACTGTTTCACAACTGCAGAATACCTGGCCAGAACCAAGTGTCAGTGAAGCCCTGTGAAGGGTGACACCAGCCAGATGGGCTGGCAGAATGGTCACTGCTGCTGCAGGGGAATGCTGGGCATGTGGCTGTGTTGGCTATTCTTTCTTCTGTGTGTGTGAGAAAATTTCCATAACAGAAAATTAAGAATTTGAATCAGAAAGCACTGAATGGTTCTGCTAAACTTCTCTGTGTCCGTCCAAAAGAAACCTTTGAGGGCATCACGTTGCTACCTTTTGAAAGAAGGAATTCCACGGTGTTCAAGTGCCCTTCACAAGCAGCCACCATGAGGGGCGTCCGGCCTTGCTTGTCACTTAGGTTCACGTCACAGCCGCGTTCCAACAGCAGTCTAACAATCTGGAAGGGACACTCAGAATTACCATCCTTCTGCTGCCTTTTCAATCACACCTGCTATACCCAGACAGGTTTCTTGACCTTTAAAAATAGTCAAATGACTTCCCTTTAAAAATCCCTAAGTTGTGTGAACCATGGGGGCTGGAAAAGCTTTCCTCTGTATTCCTTTGAACAGAATCTTTTCCAAAATATATGCTTTTATCAGGCCCAATTCATTGCTGTTTCTGCTAAACATACACATACCAGACAGAAGTGGTAATCTGGGGGAGGAGGGATGCCAAGCACAACCCACAAGGACAAGACAGCCACAGGGAGGTGGGAGAATGAAGCATAACTCAGGGGGCTGAGCAGTGGTCATGGGGTCCCCCACAGGCACTGAAGACAACTAAGTACCTACAGTGGAGTGCTGGGCAGGAGGAGGGCACAGAAAGAAGCTCGCCCACCACGCACCCAAGCCACAGACTTTCCTAGGATGCAGCATTGGTGGACGGAATGCCTTTCAGGGAAAGCAACTTTTAGCAAAGCTCCCTGCAGGAGATTTTCAGCCTTAGAAATATGCCTTTCAACTGTGCATGGTCATAAGGCTGGGGAAATAAAAACTAGAAAACCAGACAGGGGTCTCCCATAAACCCCATCCCAGTGGGAACTGCTTCAGCCATAGCTTAGCGCAAGTTTTCCCCAGTGCATCACTTGTTACATTGCCACGGCAACAGGAGGTGACACATTCCCACTGCCTTCTTGCTCTTTATCTGCTAAGGAATGCTTTCCAAACTTCCCCGTGGCTTAGGAAACAGTGGGGCAAGGAGAGTATTAGCCAGAGCATCAGGCTGAAGCAGTGAGGGTGACAGGGAACAGATGGTACAAACCAAGCTCTTAGGAATGGAATGGAGAGAAGAATCCTGGCAGGAAGTACTCATAGCTCCTACCAAGGGAGGTAGCAGGCATGGGCAGAGACACAACTCCATGACCAAAACTTTGGTCTAGAAATTTCTTCTTTGTAATATTCATAATATCCTTTGTGTTCATAGTGTATGTGTAACCTGGTGCTAGGCGTGGGGCAGGTATGCGGTCATTGTTTATGAAATGAAGAAACAAGGATTCCCTGCCCTCTCGAATGAACCACAACAACGGAAAACAAACCAGCCTGGATCAGTGCAGGACCACAGGGAAACATTTCCTTTTCCAAAGAGCACAACAGAACTGCTCTTCTTCCAAGTATGTTGGACAAATGCATCACAAAACAACAGCAGCAACAACACATATGTTAGTGCAAGCCTCCTGTTATCATGGTGAGTCTACCCACTCCACTTCCTCCAGTGCCTATGTCTCTGACCTGGATAGCTCAGCTTCGAGCAGCCTTGCTCCCCAGCCTGTGTGGCTGACGGTGTTATCCTGTCAAATGTGTGCCTCTATCAAGCAGTCCCGATGGCACGGCAGAAGCCAAGGATGGGGAACAGGCAGGCTCAGGGAAGCTGCATGTGGTCTCATGGGAGCTGGGCAGTAGTAAATTCCATCCCCACTCATAGCTTCTGAAGCATTCAGGGGCCCCCTGGGTACCTGCCAATGCCCCTGACGTGCTGCACAAAACAAAGGTGGGACTCCTCTCCTGTTTGTCCGTGACACAGCAGCTCCATGCCCCAGCAGCAGCTCACAGATCTCCAGCTTCCCTCTTCCTGCGGCAGCAGTCAGGGCTAAAGGAAAGTCACATCTGTTAGTGTGTGGTGGAGCACAGATGGCCAGAAATTCTTTGACAGTTCTCTCTCCCAGTAGGAGGTGGGGGTCTATGTGTCCTCCCCCACGGAACCTGCAAGGGCTCTGTGACAGCTTTGACCAACAGAACACAGCAGAACCAATTCTTTGCAAGTGTCAAGGCCCAAGTCCTAAGAGATAGGCTTCTTGCACTTCCTTGAGCACTCTTTCTTGGAGCCCAGATGCCATGTTGAGAGGAAGCCTAAGCAGTCCTGTGGCAAGACCCCCAGAGAGAAGAACTGAGGCCTGGGCAAGGCTGCCAGTTCCAGATGGGCTCCCAGCAGATAGCCAGCACCAGCCGTCAAGCCACATGCATGTGCTACCCTGGAAGGGGATCCCCTTTACCTAGGTCATGCTTTACCTAGGTCAAGCTGCCCTGGTAAAGCCATGTGAGCAGAAATGAGCCATCCCCACAATGCCCAGACCAAACTGTAGATTCAGAAGTAGTTAAGTTTTGTTTTTGTTTTTCACAAGAAGAGATAACCAGAATACAGTGCAACACAAACAAAGGTTGGTGTTATTGTCCAGTATGGCCTCTTACCCTACAATCACAAAATTTCATTCAAGAAGAATAATCACTGAGGCCGTCTAGAGTGCACGTCATTCCTCCCTTATTAAAGAATCTCTAATACGTCAAGATTCAGGGTTAAGAAAGACAAGAAAGAATTCCTGCCAGCAGGGGTGTGTGAATGAATGAATGAATTAATTAATTAATAAGTAAGTAAGGAAGTCAAGAAAGAAAAAAGCAGATCCCACTGTAGAGGGCCTGAGTGAACACGCTGGCCCATTGTCGTGGCGGTGCTGTGGGAAATCAGCTAAGGATGAAAGAAAATGGCATGCAGGGAGAGAGGACAACAAGGCAGGGTACTCACAACACCCTCCCATCAGCCTGGGCCTCCCACTGTCAGATTCTTAATTTGGGGGTGATAAACAGGGGGTGTAGTTCGAAGACTTGCTTCTGCTCATCATGGGAATCACTGTCTAGAGAGGAGGACGGAGGAAGTGGCAGAAACAACCCCAGGTCAGGAAGATCAGCTCTTCAGCGGGACCAGCGGCCAGGAAGGGGCTGAGTGGCAAGGATGGCTGCTCCTCTGGAGGGAGGGAGAGTGTGGCACCCTGGCTCTATTCCCAGTACGTGCCTGGGATGACTCTGTTTCTAAATACAGCCTCGAACTATACATTTCCAGGTTCCAGAATAGGGTAGTGTTCTTACAAGTCAGGCAGACAGACCTTTCAGACTGAAAATGGGCAACGCAGGAACAGGCCTTCAAAAGGTGTGGTCCACACGCCAGGGAGCCTATGCAAAGCGCCTAGCCTCGTTAGTAACAAGAAATGGATGCGGAACAACAGGAAAGTTCACACCCTGCTAGTGGAAGGGCGCACGGCGGCTGCTCTGGAAAACAGGCTGACGCGACGAGTAAGTTGAAGACAGGTGTATCCCCACACCCAGCAACCCACCTGCAGAGATGCACCCTGCAGGCACTCTCAGGGTACACCAGAAACATGTGCAAAAATGCTCACAGCACCCCAGGCTGCAAGTAACCCAAACAACCATAATCATCATCATCATCATCAGCAGCAGCAGCAGGCTTCGAGAAAGTGGCACAGTCAATCAGCAGAACACTACACATCTAACAAATAAACACCATGCAGCTAAACGTGACTAAGTCTGTCTCACAAACTTAACAAGGATTCAAAGAAACCAAACCCCAAAGAAAACATATGGAAGACTTTGTTCATGCATAGTTCAAAAGCAGAGTGCTGCAACAGTCATCTCTGGAGAGGGTCACCTGTGGGCTTCCGATTAGCAAGGGCAGGACCTGGCTTGCCTGCTGAACATCTAAGCCCAGGTCTCAGAAGGTGAGGGACTGCTCAGCTCTGGAGTCCCGAGGTCCAGAAGGTAACACAGGACAACACAACTGAAGACATGTTCTTGTCCTAGTTGCTACATGTGACCTTGGCAAATCCTCAAGGTCTGCGAGCCTCAGTTTCCCCATGCAGAAAGCTAAGGAGTTGAGCCTGACCAGAGTAATGAAGAGGCCAAACTTCCACAAATACTTAGTTCTAATTTCACTTTTAAAATTTATCTTATTTAAAATTTTGTAATAAACTCAATACCCTCCGCCACCACCACATTTGCTGTTACTGACTTTTTTTTTTTTTTGAAACAGGATCTCTCTGTCGCCCGGGCTGGAATGTAGTGGTGCAATCTTGGTTCACTGCAATGTCCACCTCCCGGGTTCAAGCGATTCTCCTGCCTCAGCCTCCTGAGTAGCTGGGATTACAGGCACGAGCCACCATGCCCAGCTAATTTTATTTATAGACAGACACACACACACACACATTTTGGAGACTAAATTTTGCTCTATCACCCAGGCTGGAGTGCAGTGGCATGATCTTGGCTCACTGCAACTTCTGCCTCCCAGGTTCAAGCAATTCTCCTGCCTTAGCCTTCCGAGTAGCTGGAATTATAAGCACGTGTGACCATGCCCAGCTAATTTTTGTATTTTTGGTAGAGACGGGCTTTCACCACGTTGGCCAGGCTGGTCTCGAACTCCTGACCTCAGGTGAACCACCTGCCTCGGCCTCCCAAAGTGCTGGGATTATAGGAGTGAGCCACCAAGCCCGGCCTAATTTTCACATTTTTATTCGAGACAGGGTTTCACTATGTTGGCCAGGCTGGTCTGGAACTCCTGACCTCAGGTGATCCACCCACCTCAGCCTCCCAAAATCCTGGGATTATAGGTGTGTGCCACCGTGCCTGGCCGCTATTACTAAATTCTAATACCTTGGGGACCAGCGTGTTACCGTGGGTGCCCAAAGTAACTTATCACTGGGCAGTCTTGATAACAGTGTTTTTCCTGTCATCTTTCTAGTCAGATAATTTCTCAGCTACAGGAAGAGCTGTTCTTAACAACAATTGCCATCTGCATCACTGATCTGGATGAAAGTGGATTCTCTCAAGACAGCGCAACAGAACAAAACATCGAAGGGCAGGGATACTACAGCTGATCTGGACTGCAGGTACCATTCATATCTGTGTTATGCAAACAGGCCCATTGCCCTTACTGAGGAGACATTTAAACTTAATCTCAGTGTGCTGTGACATGGTAAATGCCCCATAAACTGCATACCTCGACCATACCTTGGCTTTCCATTGAAACTGCTCTCTGTAACCCAAATGTGACAGGCAAGCAGTCCAAACCAACACCATTTTGGCCCCTGTGCCATTTTAAGACTTGTATTAAGTAACTATGGTCTGTAATTTCCACCCTACCCAGACAATGTGTAAACTAACGCTATCTTGACTTCTGTGAACCACTTCAGTAACAATCGGAATGTCCAAAGTCCCCTGGCACTCAGAATGTCCAAAGCCCCTCGCCCCCACCCCCGCCTAGGAGGTGGTTTACGGGCATAAAAGGTCTTGACATCCTCCTTTCAGGGCCATGAGTTAGAGAGACTCGAGTCCTCCGTGGCCGCCAGCAATAAAGACCCTGTAATTTAGCCTAGTCTTTGTCTCAGTGGTGATTTCGCATACTCGGTTACAACACATCGGTATGTAAAACTGAGATAAATACCATTAACAGAATGGTATTTACCATTTATTTATTTACCATTCTGTTAATGGTATTTATCTCAGTTTTACATACCAACACACCGAGACAGAGGTGGGTTGGGGGGCGTTTCATACATAAAAAGTTTGGAAACCAGGGTCCAAGGTAATCCCATCTGTACTCTGAGAATCTACACAAACCAGGTCTGGTCCCTGCTGTCTCGGGAATCCCAGCTGTAGTCTCTTCCTATCATGATAACGCTAATGATTCCTACTAACATAAGGCTCGGGTACTTTTCTATTTTAAGACACCAGAATACGCCACCCCAAATATGCCTTTTTGCATAAAGATCTTGAGCTGATTATTTTGAGAGACTGCAGACACAGGAGATATTCCAAGAACAGAGCAGAAATTATTCTCTTGTAAGACAAATTTCTGTCTATAAAGGAAAATCTCCATTTGGAAGGGTGTCTTCCTTTCTATACCAAGAAGAGAAGGACAAGTACATCACTAGAGACTTCTATCAATGGAGAATCTGGCTCACAAACCTTACCCTTGGTAACTGCTTTTCTTGGGTACCTCCCCATAACTGGTCTTCCCCACACCATTTATCTTTGTTTCAGGGCTGATGGCTTTAAGCTTAAAATCTAAGCCACCTCTTGGACACTGACTCATTTCTCTGGGTATCTACCATGAATACTAGAGATATACCTGCTATTCAACTTGTTTGTTTTCCTTGTGTTCATCTGTCTTTCATTGCTGCAGTCTGTTCCAAGAACTGTTTAGGGTAGGGATAAAGTGATTTCTTCCTCCCCTACATATACATTATCTGGCTTGATCTGATCATGACCCTGAAAACGTGTGATTCTTGTGCTAGAAGGTGTGGGTATTAAGCCACTACCTAGATCTGCTGCTGCTAGGCAATTTTCCTCCAGGCAAGGAACAACTCCTCTTCCTCCTCTCCCCAGTTGTAACTGACCAGAAGGAATGAATCAAAACAAAGACACATGGGCTCCAGGCAGAGGCAGGGCCCAGGTAAATGCAGGACTCCATGCAAAGGAATAGACATACGACTCTTGCACTTGATGAGATCTGAAGCAGCTGATCCACCACAGCATTGTGTTCTTTTATTTCGTAAACACATTTCATCTCCATTATAAGCAGGGCCTTTAAATCAGGATTTCTTTTGCAGCTGCTACTGAATTTTTGCAACAGCAGCACATCTGAAATGGCAGTCCTGCACTAAAAATAGGGACTTGGGTTTCACAGAGGCGTCAGGGAAGCCACGAGTAGAAGCAACTGACAAGGGGCAAGCACGCCACCCCGGGCATGGCAGCTGGATTGGACCCTGTCCTCCTCCTTTCCTTCACGACCCTTGCTATGCATTTGGTGACTTCCTCTTGATGCAACTAAAGACCTGTAAGCACAGGTAGACTTTGCTCAGGCTTAAAAACGATCACCTTCTACACACAAATTCCTGACGAGGCTCTTGTTTACAAAGGATGCAGACAGACGACTAGATCTGTGTTTTCCTTTTTCTATGCAGATTGAATATTCTGGGGCCATCACTGCAAACTCCTGAGGTTTAGGATTATCTCAAGTTTCAGCAGCCACTGGGACTTACAGATGCCATATACGGAAACAGGAGAGCCTGAATAATAGCCAGCCACACACTTAAGCAAACAGAACCATGGCTAAACTATGCTCAGGAATTCCAGCTATTCTGCTGCAAAGGCAGACAGACCTCCAGTGCCGCCGGGCAGGCTCCAGTGAGGGTTAATGCAATCTGCCTGACCAGAAGGAGAAGAGAGCAGGGGAGAGGGCAGGAGAAGAGGATGCCTTGCAATGGGCAGTATCTTGCCTTCTGGCAATCAAATACAAAGATGAAGGAGAAAAAAAGACAGTATGAAATGGGAGCTCTAAAATCAACACAAACAGATGGCACTTTTTAGGACTCAAATTGGACACAATTTCTTCTAGTTGCAAAATCCTTAACAAGATGGCATTTGTAAATTAGATTCCCATGAAAGTACATATTCTCTGATGGTCTGAATAATTTTACCTCAGCAACACTGTCCTGTCTTGAGAATGCACGCAGGTTTGTAAATGGCAGACGTTCATCTTAAGAACAACCTGACTGATAACAATCTGAATGTATTGGAAATAGCAGTGAGATAGAGCACCATAAAATGGATGGTTTGCAGGAATCTTTCACATATTAAAATTCTCCAGGAAAAGATTTGATTTGCAAAAAACTTGACTGTCAACTTGCCAGGGACACAGTCATTCCACAAACAGGGCCATTCATAAAATTTTATAACAGATCTGTCACTCAAATTCACGGGGTGTGCTACCCAGGCTCAGGATGGCTTGGCTTTCAGTTCACAACAATGGGTCCACATTCCCACCTACATTTGCTTTTGGACCCAACCTGGGGGCTTGGAGAGAAGGGCGGCAGGGTCAGTGCACACAGAGGCAGCTCCCTGCTGGGCAGACTATGACCTTTTCATACATTACCCACGGATGTATGAAAACCATTCTCCAAGCTGGAGCTGAGTGCCTCCGGAGAACAGCTTGCAACTGCGGAACCCACTTCATGCTGGCTGAGAGGGTGCTGCGAGCAGGGCAGGGTGGCTGGGCTCTGCTTGCATACTTGTGTTCATGTATGCAATTTACTTATTATCCCAGCCTCTCCCATATTTTATAAAAATGAGTGGAAAATGAAAAAAATGAAAGTGTCATCATTAATGGAAAGCAGCAGGGTTCTCATAAATGTCATCTAATTGTAGCCAACGTGAGAACCGTGAGAAGCGATGAAAGCAGTGATGCCTGACCCTCAGCTGCAGGCCCGATGGCCACACCCTGCTCAACTGTAAAGGCAGAGACCACTAGGAAAGAGTGTGCCTGAAACACTGCACATTTCTCAGCTACTTTATCTCAATGATAAAATGTAATGAGGGATTTTATGATTTTTTAACTCTAGGAATTACTCCCCACCCGCCTTTGTAACTGACTCTAAGTGGCTACATGGAGGCAGGCTTGCTTTGCTGCCACTGGGAGCTTGATTGTCACACGGAGGGCTTTGGGGAAGCCGGCCCCCAAGTCCTCTGGCTGAAAGCAGCAATCCCTTCCCAAAAAGCCAGGCATTGTGCCTCCCCCTACCTTCTAGAAATAGAATTAAGCTAATAGAAGCCAAATTTCATAGCCTTGCTTTGTTCTTTGTTAGGCATTTCCTCTTGTCTCTAAGGGAGGGGAGGGCTTCCATTAGACAGAAGAACATACTTTCCAAGAGCTCTAAATTCTTCACTGCTACAAAGACCAGGTAGTTATCTAACCTAATCCTCAACAATGTAAAGGATAAAATGAAACGTAATCAAGATGCTCTTTCAGAAAACTGTACTTGCACTGGGAGACGAACGCCCCTGGTCCTGGGGTCTGGGACAAGCCACCAACACTGTCAGCCTCAAATGAAACTTCTGCAGGCCAGGGCCCTGCTGCTCAGTGACCTCACAAACGGGAAGTCAGCACTGCCCAGGTACAGTCATGCGCTGTGTGACGATGTTTCAGTCAGCGACGGACTGTGTATACAACAGCACAGTGGTCTCACAAGATGGTAATACGATATTTTTCTGCCTTCTCTGTGTTGAGGCATGTTCAGATACACAAGTACTTACCTCTGCATTATAGCTGCCTACAGTATTCAGTATAGCAGTATGCTGTACAGGCTTGGAGCCTGGGAGCAACAGGCTGTGCCATCCTGGCTTGTGTAAGTACACTCAAGGATGCTCGCACAATGATCAAATTGCCTAAGGACTCATCTCTCAGAACTATCCCATGCACGAATTTAGTAAGTTGCGATTTCCAACATGTTCCTTACTGTTTCCCATTTGGCAAAACTCTTCCAGGAGGGCTATCTCCCAACCGCCACGATGCGGCCTGCAGAGAAAGCCTGGCTGGGGCCAAGCACGGGGATTCCGTGTTATAAGGCAACAGGCGGCAGCCAAGCATCATGGAGAAACCGGCCCCCTCTGCCGACAGACATGACCCCATTTCCACTGAGCTACCTATGGGAGGTGAATACAGGGCAGAACCCAAGTCTGGGGAACCAGAACACTCCTGACCATGTTACAAATTCTACTGTAAAAACACTGTCAGTCAGTGTGTGGATTAAAGATTAAACAGGAACCTCAAATTGCCAAGTTCTTTTAAAAAATAAAATGTGTAACTGCACCTGTGAACACGACTTCACATGTGTGACCAAAATTCTTTTCCACCCCTCAATTATGATTCCATCTTCCAAAGTAATTGCAAAGTAATTGAAGATTTGATCACTTATATATCCATTTAAATACTCAACTGACAAACGTATAGCATACATTAACATATTATAATATTAATTTATCACAACCCTGAGAATACATAGCATTTAATGAACACGTATCAACTGCTGAGAACTGTGCAAAATACCCTGGGTGGATTCTCATTTAATCTTACGAACCTTTTGAACCAGATGTCATTATGATGTCCATGTCACTGAGTTGAGGTAACTGAGTCGCAGGGGTTACATCATCTGCCCCAAATCACAAAGGGAATAAGCATCAGAGTCAGAAATTTAACCCCAGCAACTGAATGGACCTGAAGTCATGCTCTTGATCAAAATAGGAAGATGCTATCAGCCTTAAATAACATGCCATGCCATTGTCAAGGCTTCCTACACGATGCTCTTGGCCCCTCATATTCATAAGTTCGTTGAACACAATCAACCTCTATGAGGAAGGACTACTCTTTAGTTCTCTGTTACAGATGAGAAAAGCCCCAGAGAAATCAAACAATTTGCTTAAGGTCCCACAGCTAGTAGGAGTGTGGCTAAGCCTGAGTTCTTAGCTCCTACACTGCTGCCTCCAGGAGGTCGCCTTTAAAAACAGGGCATCAGCTTTCTATGAGTGTTGTTCAGAACAAAAGTACCAGCAAGTGCTTTTCTTTTCCTAAGGAACTGCTGCGATTTCTCCCATGGGCAATAAAAATAGTCTACAAGGATTGTGTTCCCCTCTAATTCTGGCCACATGGCATTCCACGGCCACAGTAGTAGCTCAATTTAGTATGTCATGGCACGAATGCTTGTGCAGTTCCTCATGTCCTATTCCTGACTCAGTGTTTTAAAGTTCTTATTGGCATCCTTTCACATAAGCCTCTTCAAATCCTTTGAGGAATAATGTGTGAGCTATAACTAATGTAACCTAAATTTAAAACTAATTTCCTAAAACATAAACAACATAAGCCATCTTTCATACAGACTGTTCTTCTAAGAATCCATGAGAAGAGGACACCTTTGGACAGCTGTCATTTCTACAGTGTGCTGAGAATGTTCACGTTTGGAAGGCTGGGTTACATACCAAATGAACTAAAGCAGGCTAACGTTCTCTCTCCTCTCGGTAAAGGCTAAATTTGTGCTGAGGACTTGGTTATGTGCCAGCACCACATGAGGCCTCAGTGTAAAAGGGGGCATTTCCACAAAAGCATTTGACACAATCTCACATCTGGCCTCAAGAACACAGAAATAATCCAAGTATCATTTCAAGAATTTGAAAGAAACAAGGATGATTTTTCTGTGGGAGTGCAGTCTTTCCCAAAATATGAATGAATATGTTTTTTCTGTTGAAGGCAGAAGTGTTTTGTTTTTTATTAACTATTCAGGAATCACTCACTAGAAAAATGGACTCTGTACAGCAAGAACAGCTTGATGAAGGTAGTCAAGGGGCCAATTCCTGGGTTTTCTACCTGCTCACTTCTGGCCACTAAGCCTGCCTTACAGGGTGGGGACACGCTGACCTGACCCCTCTTGCTCTCTGCAGAGAGGAGTGGTCTCTGGAACCCACCCACATCAGGGGCAAAACCAGGAGGCCAGGGTGTGGACAAACCCAGCCCTCTCAGTTTTGATCCCCCATCTGCCTCCACTGTTTGGGGGACCCCCCTTTGTGCCCATCCTCCTCCGATCCAGAGCCCTGGGTTACCCCTTCCATGTTGGTAACCCCACTTTGTCCCTCCCCTAACAGGGCACAGGGTCACCCCCACCCCATCTCGCTCTTTTCAGGATCCTAGGCTGTCCCTCCCACGCACCCTGGAGGGTACTGGCTTACTCCCCATCATGCTGTTATGGTGTGGACAATTTCAACTGACAGCAGCCTGGATTTCCATGCCCACTCACCTTACTGAACCTTCTTAGAACAAACGCTTGCAGAGGAAGGAATGCCTTGATAAAGATTTTCCAAAACCATTAGTGGTGAGATGCTCAGGACCTCTGAAAAATCCAGTATCTTCAGTGTACAACAGCAAGTCACAGTTTTCTCTACAGGATACTCCATTTGTGTTCCATGTAACGCATACCCTCCACATGCCCCAACAAGACGTGGGAAAACTCTTTCCTTCCAATTTCTCACCTGAAATTCTGTCCTGAGATCTGCATGCCTCACCAAATGAGGATACTTCCTGAGAAAGGCCACGCATCATCAATGACAGGGATGCACCCTGAGAAATGCATCATTAGGTGATTCTATCATTGTGCTAACCACCCTATGTGTAACATGGGGACTTACAAGAACCTCGATGGTGTAGCCTACACACGTCTAGGTTACATGGGACAGCCTCTTGCTCCTAAACTGCTAACCTGTATCCCCTGTTACTGTACTGGATACTGTAGGCAGCTGTAACATGGTGGAACCTGTGTGACTAAACACAGCAACATAGAAAAGGTAAAGACACAGTACTGTATAGGAACAGCTTCCCACATGCAGTCCATAGCTGACAGAAATATCATTATGTGGGGCATGACTGTATATGTGACTGCAATGCTCAACCCAGTAGTTTTGACATTTGTTTTAAATTCTTACCAAATAGCCCCTCTTCTCTCCAAAACACCTAAGGTAAATTCAAATGAAGAATGGGTAGTTTTTACACCATAAGTAATAAGGCATCTAGCTCCCTGTGTTCTGGGGCGGACTTGGAGGCAGGAAGCCCACCATCCATGCCCTGAGGGCCCATGTAACAGAGGCCAAAGTAACCACAAAAGGGGAAAGGAAAGCAGTCCCATGGAAACTTAAATCAACAAAGTTTCAAATACAACAGGACCCAGCTTCACAGCCCAATTTGGAAACAGGTGCGAAAACCATGCCCCCAAGGGGCCTGGAAACACCCACCCCAGCTGCAGGGCGCTGCCTGAGACTCAAGATCCAGAGGGAGCCAGGTTCTGTCCAAAATTCCATCCAGAATTAGCAAACAGTGAACTAAAGTGAGCACACATGCTGAGCGGAACTGCTGCCATGGGCTACACAAAGGGAGGCCAGCGATGCAGCTAAGCAGTCCATTCAATTCACAGCGGAGAAGATCTCCCCATCTTAGGAGCAGGGGCAAATAGCAGCTTTGGAAATAAAAATTATTTACCTGACTTAACTCTTCTGGAAAGTATTCAACAATTAAAACGGTACGGAGTTAACATAAAGTAACACTTCACATAAAGTATTTCGGTCAGACTTTTAACTAACTCTGATAGGGCATCCCCTTCCAGAAATTAGGGAAAAGCAGCCTTGGGGAGCCACTGGAGTCTTATATGCATGAAGGACCTCCGAGGGGTAACTACGGCAGGGCGGGACGGCTGTCAGAGCCCAGCATGAGGGCACAGCACACCCAGGCTGAAGAGAGCACAGATGGGGCTGTGCCCACACCAAGCTTGGCTGCTAATAGCTGTGTTCCCAAAGATCCAATCCAGCGGCCCACAGTGCCCTCAGCACAGGTGCTGCACCGAAGACATGGCGAGAGGATCTGAGCCATCCTGGAGTCCAGCAGAGTATCGTCTGCACTAGAACACCAAGAAATTAGGATACTGGGTCGTTATGAGTGAACAGGTCCCTTACTCCTCCCCCTCCAACCACAGGTATTTCTCCCAAATTATTCTCCAAGTGAGCATCTCCCTCCCTCAAAATGATATGGCCTTGTTTCCTTTAAATCCACTTGTCCACTTGGTCAATACCTATGTAACAAGCACTGGGCTATACCTGCGCTGTCCAATTTGGTGGCTACCCATCGCATGTAATTTAGATAAATTAAGGTAAGATTTTAAAGTGTTGTTCCTCAGTTGCACACGTCACATTTCAAGTACTCAATAGCCACATGTGGCTAGCAGCTACCATGCTGGACAAAACAGACACCACTTCCATCACTACAGAAAGTTCTATTGGGCAGCACTAGAACGGACAGTTGCCATACACGAAAGTGAGCACAAGAGACAGGGAAATTTCTGCCCTCATAAAGCCTATGACTGGCTGGGTATGGTGGCTCATGCCTGTAATCTCAGCACTTTGGGAGGCTGAGTCAGGAGGACTGCTTGAGCCCAGGAGTTTGAGACCAGCCTGGGCAACATGGCGGATCCCCATTTTTTATATCTCTACAAAAAATACAAAGTTTAGCCAGATGGGGTGGCTAATGCCTGTAGTCCCAGCTACTTGGGAGGAAAAGGTGGCAGGATCCCCTGAGCCTGGAGAGGCAGAGGCTACAGTGAGCCAGGATTGTGCCACTGCACTCCAACATGGGTGACAGAGTGAGACCCTGTCTCAAAAAACTTGGGAGAAGCAGCCTTCTATCAAAGAAGCCACACAGAATAAGCCTATGAAATAAGATGTACCAATGATAAGTCCTACGAAGGAAACTGCAGAGTGAGCCAATGGAGTGGAGAGGGGTGAGGCTGGCCCATCCACCCGCATGGCAAGTGCTGGAGTAGAAGGGCCTCTGTTCTCTTCAGTGCAAGGTTCTAACCAGAAGCCCATAAGTAGGCTCACATACTTGAGAGTGGCCTGTGACTTGAAGACACAGTCCTTCTGCCAATCCACAGCAGCATGAGGTCACCAGCTAAGTATTTCTGGTCATTTCGGCTTGAGCTAAATTCACAGCAAATACTGACATGGAGACAGTAACTCAGTGTAGCCAGAACTTTGTGGGAGGCAGCATGGACTTCTCACAGCTGTGGAATGCCGGAAACAGATGCCATAAGCATCTGGTGGGTTCTCACCATGTTTTAGGCTGCCCAGAAACTACACAACAGACACTGACCGAGTCTGTGAATGTCACCAAGCCAAGGGCCTTGGCAGCCTCAGGGTGGTGCTGTTAGGTACAGGCATTCATCATCTGCTCTGAGCTTTCTTCTGATGAATGTGTCACACTACTTCTTATTCTCCATTGGAGACCTTTGTTTCTGGGGTGGGGAGGATGCAGGTGGGGAGAGGGACACCTCGAGGGCTACTGGAACTACAGAGCTGAGTTTTGAATGGCTGGTCCCTAAACACTGGACACACAAAAAGCAAATGGTCCCAGATGCTGGTGAAAACAGAAACTTAATACAAGTCAAGCCCTCTGCTCTCCAAAACCAGTAGAGACAGCCTGCAAGTTTTCTAAAGGTTGTGGGTTTACTGCAATAAACCTCCAAACTAAATACTGTTCCCATTTTTTATGAATGTCATAAAATTCTATTGTACATTTTCTTGTCTTCTTCAACCTAACATAGGAGCCACCTACTTCTGTGATGGCATCTGTTGACTCAGGGTCACCAGCAGGGAGATGTGTGCAGGGCTGAGAGTGGAGGGCTGCCCCTGTGCCTGATGCCACCACACCGATGGCCTGAGTGAGGGGGACCTCCACGGGCCTGCTGTTCCCTGGCTAGTGGCCATCATTCTACCTTACCAAGAACCCACTGCTTCCAATCAGCAACAGGCACGACAGCCACGCTTCTGCCATGTGGAACAGATTCACTGGATTGCAAGGCTTTCCTGGCAGAAAACTGAAGGAGGAATCTGTGCATGAATTTAGCGCCTCTGCCACTGGCTCTGGCAATGGTGGAGAAGAGATGGGCAGGCAGCTGTCCTCCTAACGGGGGTGGAAACCACAGGCCTTTCAAAGGCAGCAGGTGAGTCAAAACAGAGGAGGAAGCTCTGCCTTGTCACCTCATCAGCTAGCATTTTAAAGCCAAGCTGTTCACAGCTAAATCTATGCTGAACAGACTTGGGTAACATACTTAAGGTTTCAAAAGAAATAATGAATGGTGTTATCCTCACCAAGCTTCCAGTTTTTCTACCACCTTCCCACATCCCAGATAGGTATCACTCTTGGGATCCTATCCTTGTGCTGTGGCTAGGGACAGATAAGATTCTCCTGGTGAGAACCAGATGAGTCCTGGTTCTCCTGGTAAGAACGAGGACTGTGAGCTAACCCATTCACTCACATGATCCTTACCAAGACCTTTGGTTCTCTGTACGATGCCTCATCTGCCATCACTCCCACATTTAGGGTTGGTAAGAGACCCCATGTGGCCAAATCCCAAACATGGATGTCACATTCTAGGGCATGCAGTATACATTTGTGTAAAGACCCATATTTGCAAATGTCCTCTCAGCTGAAACCCCCTGCAAGATTTCAAGGTATTTTTCTGACAAACGCAGATCTGGAAAGTAGGAGGGCTTGGGGCAGTAGACAATAGTGGTTGTCTTTGAAGGACCACAAGAGAAAGGTACCAGACAGAAAAATGCACAGAAAGCAAGGCTGATTTTGTTGACATGCAGTCCACAGAGAACCACTGGGCTCTCTAAGCCTGAAAAACAGCACTTAGCTTGCCTCTTCTTGGTTTAAATTTTGACAAGTGTCTCACTCTTGCCCAATAAAATTCACCCCAATGCCTGGTGAGGAAGAGTGTGAACTGCTTCCTAGGTTGCCAAGTGGTCTGAAGGTCATGCGTGAGGCTTTGGAAGGAGGGAGGGGCTGAGTTACTGTTTACCTTTTCATTAAGACCCGAGGGACAACCACAAGGAGTTGAATTCTGCCAACAGCTGAGAGTTTGGAATTGGGTCTTTCCCCAGTGGAGTCTCTGACGAGAACACAGCCACAGCCAATACCTAATTAGATGCCTGGTAAGGTACTGAAGTAGAGAATCCAGCCAAACTGTGCCAAGAATTCTAATCTAGATAAACTGTGAGCCAATAAATGAGTATTGTTTAAAAAAAGAAGATAAAGGCTGATGGGAAGTCTGTCGTTTCTCATGTGTCTCTTTAGCTATCAGCTGAGAGGCAGATTCTCAAGGCGGGAGGATAATGCAATTCAGGACTGGTCATCGAGAGAAGAGAGCTCACAAAAAGCCTTCAGAAGTCAGCCGTTCTCTGGAATTTTCTTCCAAATGAAAAAGTCATCTTGAATATTAAAGGTCAGAAATTCTCATCTGAGCTAAGTATGTGATGTCACGGCTGCTAAACCTGATGTCCATCATCTTCGTGGGTACCACTCACTGTGTGTCACTCTGTCAGCCTTTCCAGACAGCTTTGCAGGGAGCTAGGAGTCCCCTAAAATGATTTGGGATGCCTGTTCAGAAAATCCAACCTTGGGCTTTCCCCCTAGTGAATCGGAATGTCTAAGCACAAGGGTCCCAAGAAGCTCTTATCACTAGACAATGAAAGAACAGGGATTTGGACCTTCTGGCTGTCAGTAGTCATGCTCTTATCCACTCAGCAATGCTGCTGCCCACTATCAAATTCCATCACATGGAAACTTTTCTTTCACCAAATTATGGAGCAGCCTACGCTATTTAAAAGGGTAAGGGAAGGATTCCATAAGTAATTATGCAGTATTTCAATCCACATACTTTTATCCGTAGACATAATCCAACTCCGGAATTCTGTACTTTGTCTACACCTGGAAGCACACCCAGCTCCTCTTTTGGGCCCACAAAGGAGATGGAACAAACAGCTGTGAGGCTCTGAAGGGCAGGCTTGCACTCCTGCCAGGAAGTGAGGCTCTGCGGCTTTCCCCTAGGGTGAGCTATCTAATAAGCTTGCCACATCACCATTTGGCTTGTTAGGAAATAATTTAGGAGCATTTGGAAATAAATCTGTGCAAGAGAAATGGAAATCATATATACAGGTACACACACAGAAACATAACCTGCAAATTCATATTAAACACTTTTGGTGACATCTACTTAAAAACAGCTCATAATTTAAAGTCTTAGATTTCTAACGCTAATCCAGTCACATGGAAAACTGGAAAGCAGAATTACTGATTTAGTCTCACAAGCAACCAACTCAAATCTTCACCAGGATGTGCTCATCCCAGGCTTCTTCTCACTTTAAAGACCAATGGAAACGACTTGATGGCTTGCATTCGGTATGGTAAGGAGACCCCACGAGGCTGAGTTTTACCCTCATTCTATACAGGGCAGGGCAGGCCACTGACTTCTGCGCTGAGCCACCTTTGATTCATGTGAGAATGGGGATGGAAGTTCATGCCTGGCTCACCGTGCACAGGTCACAGGAAGATCACATTGGTTAGAGGTGTGAGATTTGGCAAACCAGAAAACATCACCTTACTTAAGGACTTCCACGTGACATTCATCAGATGCCTGGCAACTGTTAGTCTAATTCAAAATAATCAGTTAATAGAATTGCTTTAAAAAATAAAATCTTATGCTTCTAGTGAAGTTTTGCTACTCATTTAGAAAGTTCAAGAAGCTCTAAACTTAAAATGCCTGTGATAAAATAAAAATAAGACTACATACATCATTCATTTTTAAGACAATTAGGCCAAAATGCAGCTAAAACATCAAGCAGACTGCCCCAGACTATAAGGAGTAGCAATCTAATTACCTGTTTCTCCCCACAACGTGTCGGTGCCATTGACTTCTACTTCATGTTCCTTCTCCATCCCCAGCAAGCACTGGACCACCTGTCAGAAGTGGCAAGGTGATTTAATGAGTTCTCATAGCAAGAGGTGCTTATTACAGCCCATGCATCAAAGGAGAGAGTGTGTTGTTTTTTAACCATTATTATCTCACGCTGCACGAGAGAAAAATATAATGAAAACTGTTTTCAAGCATAATTCATATGCTATTCACACTTTCAGTTGGAGAATAATTTTAAAAAATCTCAGTGAATTTCAGCAACATTGTTCAGGATTACTAGGTACTCAGAATTCTAATGAATTCTAACATGACCCAAATATGCCAGCCTAATCAACAAAGGACATGGCAGATCACATGAAGTGCAGTTTCCGCATAAATCACCAGAAGATAGTGAATCAATTTTTCACAAGAAAGGAAAACAAGGTGATATATGCCTTCTTCAATCAAAATTTTTACAAAGTATTGTTCAAATACATTTTCTACTGGAAGCATTATTCTTTTCCCTTATGGGACTCTCCCTGTCAAAGAGGTCAGGTCACAGGTATGGAGGCAGGAAGGCTGGTGTGCAGGGAGACGAAGCCTCTGTGCCCTGGACCCGAGCCGGCGTTCACCCTGAGCAACAACAGCGAGCAATGGGCGAACATGACACCGTCACCTTCTGGTCTCCTAGCCCGCACTCCTTGCGGGGGGGGGGGGGAGGGCTGTATGATGACCCCCAAAGATGTCTACATCCCAACCCCCAGAGCCTGTGAATGCGACCTTATAAGGCAAAGAGGAATTGCAGATGTGATTATGAATCTTGAAATGGGGTGATTACCTCACATTATCAAGGTTTATGTCTGATACACACCTGATCTAATCAATCACAACCATCCTCTTTAAAGGGATAGGAGGAGTCCAGGTCAGAGGGCAGAGGAGAAGAGATGACAGAGGCTAAGGTGAAAGTGGGGCGCTCTGGAGATGGAGGAAGGGGCCACGAGCTAAAAAAAATACAAGGGGCTTCAAGAAGCGAGAGAAAGCAAGGAGACAGGTTCTCCCCTAGAGCCTTCAGAAGGCAGGCTTGGCCTCCTGATAGTGTGGTTTTACACTTCTGACTTCCAGAGCTGTCAGAGTAATTGTGCGCTGCTTTAAGCCACCAGCTTTGTGGCCATATGTGATAACAGAGTTAGGAAACTAATAAGCCCTTCAAGTCTCATGGTGAACAAACCCCGCTTTTTTCACACTACTGGCTGTGCTGAGGTGGTTTTCACTCAGCATTTCCTCCCAACCAGCTTTAAAATAAGGGGGTTAGCATGAGTGAGACAAAGGTCATTCCTACGGCATTCATGGTCCTCCCAAGGATGATTTTTCACACTTGAAAAATGGAAAACATCTACATTTTCATGTGTGTTTGACAGTATCTCTGTGTATATATCTATGTGCTTTTAATGTTTTAAATGCCAGAAATTAGCCAGCCACTATTTCATGCTTGTGTGAGTGTCCGCCCATGAGTTTTGAATGCCCAAGTTGGCCAGGCAGCTTCACGCTGAAATTTACTCAAGTCATTTTGGAAAAAGAATCCTACCAAATACTGGCACCTCTAATTGCCTCAAGATAATTGAGAGTGAGAAATACATAGGAGGGAGCACGTAAAACATTATTATATTCACAGACAAAGAAAGCCAAGACACACAGGTCAGGAGGTGACAATTAAATCTTCAAACTGAGGAATACCAACATCTGTCAGAAATAAATGCTCTATTTAACTGCTGCATGGAGTTTTCATTCAGTGGAGGAGCTGCAAATGACAAGCATTCTTACGTGCTATCGAAGCATTAAAGCTCTATTTTTAAAAATCCTTCAAATACTCAGGAACGATTTTAGAATCAGGATTCTATGTGATTATTGTTAAAAGAACACAAGGAAAGAAGAATGAATCAAAGGGGAAAAAATGTAAAACAGCAGGGCTAGAGGGCAGAGCAGGGAAGGAGGAGAAACGTGAGGAAGAGCTGAGAGTGAATGACATCGAAAGGCCTCCCACAGAATAAGTCTGCCTGTCCCCATCACGTGCGCACGGGATTGTGCACTGTCACTCACGGGAAGGATGTGATGCCCATCAAAGACCTTCTACTGCAGGTGGTCAGCACCACCTGCTAGTTCTTGGAATCCTCGTTCTTTCAGCCCTTCAGTGTGTCAATCGACCTGCTGGGCTACAGCTTCTAGCTTCCCAGGAGGAAAGCCCCTGCCCTACTCACCGAGCTGTGACCCATGCTGGCAGCTGCGGTCAGTGCCTGCTGCAGGGCGTGGCTCTTCCTCAGGGCGCCTGGCTGGGGAGGACCTGGCGACCACTCACAGGTCAGCAGGTACTGGAGAATGTCACCATGGCCCCGTAGAGCACTGTGGACAAGCGCGCACTGGCCCTTCTTATCCAAGTGGTCCACCTAGAGGCAGGAGTAGGGGAAGGGTACGATTGAGCATCACTTTGCCTACGAGCACATGGATGCACCACCTAACTGTGTGCAAACCCTACTCCCTGTAAGCATATGTGGAGTTCACATTCAAACTTGTTTTTCTGGAGTACATGGAACCTTAGTCTGGATTAACTTCCAGGCGGTAACGAATGTACCATTCCAGGCCTCAGATTCCCTTTGCAAGACTCAGGGTCGCAAAACATCCTCCTTATCCTATGTCCCTGCAGCAAACTACACAAAGATCCTAACTCTCTTGCGAGCATGTATGGAGACACAGACCAAAACCTTGGACAAGGCCCTGTGCTTCCCAGCTTTGGTTGCCAGGTGGTGCATTCTAAATCTGCTGTGACGAGCTATAATTTAGGGGGAGTAGAGCCACACTGTGGTCACTGACCTAGGAGATCCAGAGAAAGGGAGGGATGTGGAAAAACAGCTGAGTGTGAAAGAGCAGGAAGGGGGTCCGAGGGGCATCTTATTGGGAAGGAGGCCTCATGCAGGCCGGTGGCCTAGGCATGCTGGCAAGTAAGAGGGGTGGCCACAAAGTCAGGGCAGGCCAGCTAGCCAGAAAAAGTGAGTGCCACACACCTCCTCCTCAAGGCCCAAAGGCAGCAGGCAGCCCTTCTTGTCCTGTCTAAACCCCAGAGTACGGGGGCTGGGAGAGGAGCCGAGGGCCTAGCCTTGCATGACTACCAGCTCTGGGGACGCCCTGCACCCTCACTACAGGCTTTGCCAGAGCCCGGTGACACAGCACTCAGCCTCCTACTCCAGAGCTTTCAGCTGTGATGGGGGAGGCCTGCTGGCCTCAGAATACAATGTAAAGCACAGCCGGAGTCCGGAAATGGAGGTGCGGTGATGTGCAGCAGTAATGTACCCACCCCAAAGGCTTAGCCACATATTTCCCTTCTCTATGAACTGGAGTTTTTAAGTCCCAAATGTTGGATTTTTGAGAGAGAAAAATAAAGCTCCCATAGCTGTTATAAGCCTAATATTTGTGAATTTTAAATATCCTAATTAAAAGATAAAAGATAAGTAGCAGGTTATGTCTACTGATATTCAAAAGGCACATTTCCCAAAAAATTGCTCCTAGTAAACCTAGAGTTTACAGTGAGCTCAATATCATTCTCATTTACCCTATTAAAGCTGACAATTCCTGGCCAGATGCAGTGGCTCATGCTTATAATCCCAACAGCTTGGGAGCCCAAGGCATGCAGATCACATGAGGTCAGGAGTTTGAGACCAGCCTGGCCAACATGGTGAAACCCTGTCTGTACTAAAAATACAAACATTAACCACGCATGGTGGTGCACACCTGTAGTCCCAGCTACTCAGAGGCTGAGGCAGGAGAATCACTTAAACCTGGAAGGTGGAGGTTACAGTGAGCTGAGACTGTGCCACTGCACTCAAGACTGAGTGACAGAGCCAGACTCTGTCAAAAAAGAAAAAAGCTGACAGCTCTAGAGTAACTTATATAGCAATACATGCTTATTTTATATATGACTGAATGCTTATACAACGGCCCTGTGGTAGGGACTGCTGTTATGCCCATTTTACAGATAAGAAGCCTGAGACACATAGGATCAATAACTTGCCCAACACCCTAGAGCTGGCAAGTAGAAAGATGAAGATTCCAGGTAATCTAGTTCCTGCAGCTCAGGCACATGGCTTCAAAGACCCATGGAACTCATCTTACTGTTTTAAAAAGACATAAAATGGGATAAGAAGAGAGGAGGAAAAAAAGCAAACACTTAACCAATCTCAGTGCTTTCTAGATCGATACTTGCAGGGTTTTTAAAGGCTGGCCCTCCTCATGTGGCTAGGAGCCAGGGTCTCCGTGGAACTCTGCTTCCCCTGGACAACGTTAAGCAGAGTAGCTGTGTATGAGCAAAACACACCTCTCTAAGGTTGCCCCAGTCAGGCACATTACAAAAGTGACTGATCCCTGCAGCCCTGCCCTTTCTGTGTATGCTGTGGTTCGAGAGACAAGAGAGTCTGGGCCAGCAGATAACAACTCTAGCAACGAGATGCAGCCATTTCCCTACCCCAGCCTCCCTCAAAGGCAGGCTGCCTCTTACCCTCGCTCCCTTCTTGGTCAGCAGACACACCAGCTTCATGTGGCCGGCGGCTGCTGCGTAACAGAGGGCAGTCATGCCGTTCTCCGACGTTCCGTTCAGGCAGGCACCGAATTCCAGGAGCAGAGTGACAACTTCCTCGTGGCCAAGGTGAGACTGGACGCACAGGATTGGGGCATTATTTAACACTTCTGTCCTGTAGTTCACATTGGCCCCTCCCAAAATCAGGAGACGGCTCACCTGTTGGACAAGGTCCCCCAACAAGATTGTCACACATATATATATATACGTCATCTGAACATTTGTGGAAATTGGCAGTATCCTCAATTTTCAGTATAATTTTAATCCAGTGGTTCTCAAACATGAATGTGCATCAGTATCACCTGGGAATATATTAACAATGCACATTCTCATTGGTGGGAATGTAAAATAATGTAGCTTACTGGGAAACAGTAAGACGGTTCCTCAAAAGATTAAAAATAGAACTACTGCCCCAGGCATGTGCCTGGAATCCCAGCTACTCAGGAAGCTGAGGTGGGAGGATCTCCTGGGGCCAGAATTTGAGGCCGTAGTGCACTATGAACACATTTGTGAGCAGCCTGCTGCACTGCAGCCTGTCAAGTTTTCAAAAAAAATTTAATTAAAAACAAAACAACAATAGAATGTCCATGTGATCCAGCCATCCCACTTCTGGGTATTATATAGAAAAGAACTGAAAGCAGGATCTCAAAGGCATATTTGCACATTCATGTTAATTGCAGCATTATTCACAATATCCAAGAGGTAGACACAACCTCAGTGTTCATCAGTGGATGACGAAAATGTGGTACGTGAACATGCAATGGATTACTATTCAGACTTATAAAGGGAGAAAATCTTGCCATATGTGACAACACAGGTAAACCTTGGGGGAAGTGAAATAGGTAAAACAAGCCAGTCACAAAATACAAATGCTGTGTGATACCACTTATGAGGTATATGCCATAGTCAAACTCATACAGAGAGCAGAATGAAGGTTTCTAGACCTGGGCACAGGGGGAAATGAGAGTTGTCACGTAAGGGATACAGAGTTTTAATTCTGCAATATGGAAAGTACTGGAGATCTATTGAACAACAATGGGAACACTGTTAACACTACTGAATTGCAGACTTAAAAATGATTAAGATGGTAAATTTCCTTTTGTGTTTCTTAACTGCAATTAAAAATAAAAATAAACTAAACAAATGGCCATGCACGGTGGCTCACGTCTGTAATCCCAGCACTTTGGGAGGCAGAGGTGGGCGGATCACCTGAGGTTAGGAGTTTGAGACTAGCCTGGACAACAAGGTGAAAACCCATCTCTACTAAAAATACAAAAATTAGCCAGGTGTGGGGGCGGGCACCTGTAATACCATTTGGGAGGCTGACACAGGACAATCACTTGAATGTGGGGGGGCGGAGGTTGCAGTGAGCCGAGATCACATAATTGCACTCCAGCCTGGGGGAGAGAGTGAGACTCCGTCTCAAAACAAAAAAAACAAACAAAAAAAAAACCGTAAGCAACTGTAAATTATTGGGCCCCTGCCCCTGATTACTGATTCAGTGTATTTGGGTGGTACATTTTTAATGAGTTCCCTGTTAATACGGACACTCTTGGTTTGGGGAACCACATTTTGAAAAATCACTGTTTAACCTAAACAAAAATAGGAAATTCATTTTCCTGGCAATGAAGTAATAATTGTGTCTGGGTGCAGGGGCTCATAGCTGTAATCCCAGCATTTTAGGAGGCTGAGGGAGGACTGCATGAGCCCAGGAGTTTGAGACCAACCTCGGCAACACAGCAAGACCCTGTCTCTATAAAAATGTAAAAAGAAGAAAATAGTAGTCATGGTGTTAAATAACTAATAGTGAGGTAAGGCCAAAAGTAAATATAAATACTTATTTCTTCACAAGGATATGTTACTAAAAGAAGCAGTTCAGAAATGTCCAGGTGCCTCGGGACTGTCAGCAGCACGACACTGCCAGAAGACAATGTGCTGCTTCCACTAATAACTATATCCCCCACTCAGTAAGCTCCTTGGATCTAGGTATGGGAAAGCTTTTTATCTATAGATTTTAAAATAAAAATCACTGAACATATACAAATTTTAGGTATACTAATTTCTTTTCTTTCAGATCTCCAGATCATTAGATAAAAATGATGCTCCTCTAACAGCTATTAAAATGTCCAGTGCATTTCTTTCAACGGCTCACTTTAATGGTCCTGACCCACATCAATCACTGCCCCTGCCAAAGCCTGGCAGGTCTTCCCGCTGTCCACTAAATGTGAAAGCCACAAAGACTGTCATTTATTGACTAGAGACACATGGGGATCATTAAAAGATAGAGAGAGACAACAAGGCATAAAAAATTCAGGGTATTTCAGTGATACGTGTCCACAAGAGTAGCTGACAGAATATTTACAAACAGATGGGTCTGGAAAATTATACTACCAGGTGGTGAAACTATAACTCACAATTGCATGCGAGAGGTTAGAACCCCAAACGTCAAATTTGAAGAAGTCTTGGCTACTGAAGCTTGAACCCCATGTGATCCAGGCCTCCAGCTTCCTCTCTGATCTTCTCTGCAGAATCCTTCCCTCACTGCAGCCACCCTGGACCCAGCATGTGCTGTGACAGTGCCAAGCAGGGACGGCCTCATGGCCTCTACCCCTTATAATTCCCTGACTCGAATGCTCATTCCATACCTATAGATGCCAAAGGATCGCTTCCTGCAGGGCTCTGCTCCAGTGCCAAGATACGGGGGAAGAGAGTCCCCTGCCTCCACATGCATGCACCCATGCATGCACCAAGCCCTCTCCATCTCTCAGCACACTCTGCTTTACTGCTTAGTCCACTGCACCAGACACTGATTCTACAACACAGAAGTTCCCAAAGAAGAAAGGCAAACAGAGTCCCTCCACAGACAAGGATGGCCCACACACCAACTTCTTCACACTGCTGGGACTGCTATCTACATTTAAGGAAGAACAGGCCATGTGCAAGTGACAAGGAGGCCCTGAGGAGCCAGCCGAACACCTGACCAACCTGCTGTTCACCTCATCACAGACACCACTGTCTGTCAGACCTGGGTAAGCACCAACCCAGCGTCTGCGGTCCTGTTGTCAACTTGCACTCATGGTGGAATGGATGAGAGATCAAAAAGGCCGTCCTGTCCTAACACTGCTGTTTCATGGGCAACTCCAGGCAAATGACCTCATTAATCCCCACCGAGCCTGCTCTACAGATCTATACAGGCTTGCTTTTAAATATGCCACCAAACTCAAATCTAACTCAAAAGCATTTTAAGATTGTATTATACTACAGCATTAATAAAAGTGTGGCCAGGCGCAGTGGCTCGTGCTTGTAATCCCAACACTTTGGGAGGCTGAAGTAGGTGTATCACCTGAGGTCAGGAGTTCAAGACCAGCCTGGCCAATACAGTGAAACACAGACTCTACTAAAAATACAAAAATTAGCTGGTTATGGTGGCACGCGCCTATAATCCCAGCTACTGGGGAGGCTGAGGCAAGGGAACCACTTGAACTCAGGAGGCAAAGGTTGCAGTGAGCCGAGATGGTGCCATTGGGCAACAAGAGTGAAACTCCATCTCAAAAAAATAAATTAAATAAAATAATAAATAAAAGTGTTTTTGAAACCCCTTTGGATAACTGTGGACAGAAGATTATGCTGAAGAAATACATGAGGATTTTATTAAGGCTGATGAAACCAGTCCTTAGCAAGAGGAGTAGAGAAGATACACCCATCTAGAAATAATGCAATGCCACCAATGGACACACCAGACTCTGCTAACAACAGGACGGGCAGGACCATTTGTAAATTCCCCGGATGATATTGCCAGCCAGTTACATTCTTTCCTCCCCCATCAACCCCATGCCTTCTTGAGATCCATGAGCCTAAAAGATGAAGGATTAATGATTTGAGTTCTCAACCAGCCTCCAAACTAAACTACTGTGTAATTTTCACCTCTCTGTGCTTTAGGTGCCACCTAAGAAAACAGCAAGCTTGCCACCCCATTCTATCCAACAGGTAGTCTTTGCTAATAATGGTGGAAGGTATACTTGCAGTGCCATGATGAATCTTCTCCAAGAGTTTACCTGGAAGGCATGTGCTCAGGGCAGAGCTTTCCTAAAGATGTCATCAATTCATACTTAATCTGCTTTTGGAAAAAACAGTTTCTCTTGTGGGTGTAATGCTGTAGGTATTTCTACCACTTAACCCTCCATCATCTTTCTCTAACCTATGGTTCTTAACCTGGATGCACATCAAACCACCTGGGAGCTTGAAAGTTTCCAATGCCCTGGCCCCACCTTTGGAGATTTTGACTTAACTGAGGCTGGGGCTGCAATGCCCAGAGCTCCCAGGTGATTCCAGCGGGCAGCCAGGGCTGTAAACATATCGAGTGATAAAGGCACCTGCAGAGCACAGGCTTGCTGAGTGTCGGGCGCCCTTCCAACTGTGTGATTTTGAGCAATTATCAACTGCCCTAAACCTTAGTTTTCTTATCCGAAAAATTCACAATAAAATTTCACTTCACTTGGTGGTTGCAAAGATTAAAAATCAATATGTTAAAAAAAAGTGTATGTGTGTATACATATATATACACATTAAGCATTTAGCATGGCACTCAGCATCCTGTACATGCTAAATAAACGTTAATTGATATTATTATAATCAAACTTTCATAGAGTCTTCAGAAAGGACAAGAACTCAGGTCCCTGACCTCTGGAAGGCACAGGATGGAGATCTGCCCTCCTGTCGATGTCACCCAGCATGCCCACCCTGGGCTGTTCACCAGCACAGAGCAGCAAGGACACCTCACAGAGGTAAGTCACCGCAACCATCACACCCTCAAGGTAGGCAGCTCCTGTTAACAAGCACCAACTGGCACATCCAGAAGTCCCAGGTGCCTATAGCAGAGCCACTGTTTCCAGAGATGAGGCAAAGCACCATAACAACTCATGTAAACATCATTAATGCCAAGCATGTTCCCGGTAACTTTAACATCTCAGGTAGGTTTCTCATTACTCAAGAGACAGGCTCTTTTGTGTCTCCACTTTATAGGTGAGAACACCAAGGCTCAGAGGGAGTAAGGCAGGGCTGAGCACTAAGCACAAAGCTAATGACAGTCACAGAGCAGCCAGGTGGCAGAGGCAGCTGCCCTGGCTGAGACTGCATTGCACTGAAGAAACCTGTTTAAATGATTAATCCTATAGAGTTTCCACCAACGATATGGAAATTTTCTGACCATGATCACAGAAGCCCTTCTTGCACAACACTTGGAAGTGGTGGTATCTCTATACTTCTGGATTTAATGAAAACAGAAAAACAGGAAGGGAGCTGGGGGTTATGCAAGGCAAATGATCATGAGGACCAGAAAAGGCTTGTTCAGGGTGGTCATGGGGCAGTGCCAGCATTCCCACTAAGTACACTGGAGGCTCACACAAGCACAATTGTTTTTAAACGTGTCCTGCCTGACTGTGATGCAGGATATGACTAGATCTCCGGCCAAGGGAAGTTAGGCCAAAGTCCATGCCTAGCTCCTGTTCTCCTCTCCTTTCTGCTATCAGCTGAGCAAAGATTTGCAACCTGAATCCTCCTGAGGCCACAGTCTGTGGCTGGCCACCAGTCCTATGAGATGGTACAACAAAACCACTGACTGGATGGGACCCCAGTGGGCCAGCAGGGCCCAGGCTGGCCCATCCTAGCCTGGCCATAGGAGGTGACATGGTTAGAGACAGCTGGCATGCCACTGGAAGTAAAATACATCAAGTAATCATCGCAGAACAAGTCACTTTAATTTACCAAAGTGGCAAACTGCAATTATTGTTCAAAATGACATTCATTCCTGTATGACAACATTTAATACGCTCTAAAAAAAGTTCCTTAATTGCATGCATAATTTAAAATTACTGTAATTTGTTCAAGATCCTGTGAAAACCTTCCCCCCCCCCACCGAAAGATAAAAGAAACAGAAGGATAATGAAAAGACTTGAGATTCTATAACCACATCACAGAAATAATTTGGGGGATGGTGTAGATGTAGGTGACACTGGAGTTTTACAAAACAAGGTAAAAATGATTAACTCTTAAAATCGCATGTATGTTAAAGAGGAAAGTTTATAATTCCAGGAGGGCCACGCTCATTTCATTATTATGTTGCAAGTTTAAATTTACTGTCTTAAAAACTTGTACTCAACAGATGTTCCTCATTTACTTATCTCCATATTAAAATAACTTCTATGCCCAGAAATTCATTAAAGTATGAAAACAGATATTGCCATTTTTACTCTTGTCTTTCTTCCTTATGATTATAGAATTTTAATAGTTATGGAGAAGCCAAAGGATATACTCTTAGCTGAAATGAAAGATGAAACAATGTGAGTGGTTCAGGGGGAAGACCTGGGCTCACTAAACTGTCTCAGAGCTTCCACAGGCAGCAGGCACATCAGGGCCTGGGGCTGAAAGGCTTGGACACTAACTGTCTTTGTGGCCTTAGCAGGCTACTTGGCTTCTGTGTGCTTTAGATTCCCAGGCTACATGAAATCAGGAAGAAAAATCTACCTTAAAAAGCTGAGTGGAACATCATGACATGACAGCCACTGACCAAAAAGTGAAGAAGCTCTTGCTCCACAGAAGGCCATGCTGATATCCTTTCCATAGGCAGAAATATGCATACATGAAACCGTGATCATTGTTCTTGCATGTACTCATCTCGATGCATTACTCGTCAATGCCTAATTTCCCATGAACTCGAAAGAGATGGTCCAGGTTAGTAACCCAGGACACTTAAAAATCCATTTTCCCTAGAAATCTCTCTGATCTTTGATTTCCATTGTAAACTGTTTCCTTATCACATCCACTGAGAAACATTTACCATATGTGCACAGAGCAGCCCTGACCACCTACATCTTCCTGCCAAAAAGCTAAACTTCTGGAAGAACGAATAATACAGCGCCCAAGCCTATGTGATCAGGAAAGCACATCATTAGAAGCTCCTCTGTGTCCTCTCACCACCACCCAGGGAAGAGGGAAGCAGGGCTGTTGGAGGAACAGTCAGCAGGTGGCCAGGGCTGGGTCTCTGCCTCTCTGTGCAGGAGGGTTGCTCACCTTCACATTGGGAGTATAGAGATTCCTGAGAGAGGCCAGGGCAGCAGACAGTCCCTCGGTGCTGTAGCCGATCCACAGTGCTTGGAGATGGCTTGAAGAAATTCCCGTCTTCTTACTGAGGCCCTGGAAACAATCAGAGACAAATCTGCCTGAGCGTCTCCTTCCCACCTGCAGGGACACTCTGAAAGCGGGTCTGCCACAGAGGGTGCAGATACCAGCGGAAGGCATGGGGTCTCACACAAAGAACGCCTGGACATGCGAGCTTTCACTACCTGAAACCAAGGTCAAGGAATCAGCCTGCCTTCGCTAGGTTAACTGTGTGCCTGGGGAGATAGATGGCAGATCAGAGTTTCTTTTTTGTCCTTGAGTCAGAGTCTCCCTGTGTCACCCAGGCTGGAGTGCAATGGTGCAATCTCGGCTCACTTCAACCTCCACCTCCCAGGCTCAAGTGATTCTTGTGCCTCAGCCTCTCAAGTAGCTGGGATTACAGATACATGCCACCACTCCCAGCTAATTTTTCTATTTTTAGTAGAGACAAGGTTTCACCATGTTGCCCAGGCTGGTCTCGAACTCCTAGCCTCAAGTGGTCCACATGCCTTGGCCTCCCAAAGTTCTAAGATTACAGGTGCGAACCACTGCACCCAGCCAGAGAGTTTCTCTTTATGGAAGTAAATTAGAGGAAGAATAAATGACAGAGTATCACCATCTGCGCGTCACATGGTGGTGGGTGCCTGTAGTCCCAGTTACTGGAGAGAATGACGTGGGAGGATCCCTTGAGCCCAGTGAGCTGTTATCTATCGCACCACTGCCCTCCAGCCTAGGCAAGCAGAGCAAAACTTCAATTAAAAAAAAAAAAAAAAAGTCCAGGCATGGTGGGTTACACCTGTGATCCCAGCACTTTGGGAGGCAAAGGCAGGCAGATTACCTCAGGTCAAGATTTCAAAACCAGCTAGGCCAATATGGTGAAACCCTGTCTCTACTAAAAATACAAAAATTTGCCAGTTCGCTCTGTTGCACACACCTGTAATCCCAGCTACTGGGGAGGCTGAGGCAGGAGAATTGCTTCCCTCTGGGAAGACAGAGGTTGCAGTGAACCGAGACTGTGTCACTGCACTCCAACCTGGCCAACTCCATGTCAAAAAAAAAAAAACCACATCACCAGATATAACACCAAATGAATGAGTCCAGGCAGTGACCAGCAACAACTGATGGCAACACAAAATGAGAAGCAAGCACAAATGCTGTGCCTCCTGATGTAAAAAACTTTTTTTTTTGAGACAGAGTCTCGCTCTGTCACCAGGTTGGAGTGCAGTGGCATGATCTCGGCTCACTGCAACCTCCGCCTCCCAGGTTCAAGAGATTCTCCGCCTCGGCCTCCCCAGTAGCTGGGATATAGGTATGCACCACGACACCCAGCTAATTTGTATATTTTTAGTAGAGATGGGGTTTCACCATGTTGGTCAGGATGGTCTTGATCTCTTGACCTCATGATTCACCCACCTAAGCCTCCAAAAGTGCTGGGATTACATGTGTGAGCCACCGTGTCTGGCCAAGAAACTCTCAGAACTGCAATCTTGACACCCTGAAAGGGGTAAAAAATGATTGAAGTGATTAACCCTCTGCATACAACTACTGAATCATAGAAAACCCAGGAAAAAGAGGAACGTGTTAAACTGCACCATGAAAAACAAGCGCACAGTCAGAAAGTCCACGTGGTACAAAATCACCCAGGGAACTCGGATTCTCAAACAAATCAGTAACAAGGAAACAAAAAGTAATCAACAAAGTAGAGCCTTTAAATAAAAAAGAAACTTAAAAGAGACTTAAAGGTAGGAAAAAGTAAAACTTAACCACAGCACTCAGAGACACACTTGAGCAATCAACTATAGCAAAATGCAAGGAAATGCCCAGGCTGAGTCAGAACAGCGGTTGCTTTTGGAGAGGGGAAGTGGGAAGAGGTTGCATTTGGGCTGAGGTGCGTAAAGTGTTTCTCGGATGACTGACAGTGCCATCTAAAATCTCCAAAGCAAAACCTCAAAATGACAACGAAGAAACCCTTCCCCAAGCTGGTGTGCATCTCACCTTGAAAATATGTGCCTTCAGGATGTGGTGGCCGAGCTCCATGGTCTGCTGGCGGTTCAACTTGCCCTCCTGACGCGAGAACATGAATGCCAGGAGAGCGTGCCCGTTCCTAGGGGAAGAAACACGAGGGCTCATAGCAGAAAAGCCTGTTCCACCCCACTGCAGACCCACTCTCAATCCACCACCTATCATTTAGTCATTAATTTATGCCTGTCACAAAGATGTAAACTCTGTGAGGCTAAGGGTCTCGTCTGAGTCACAACACCTAGCAAAGTGCCCAGCACTTGTTGAACACTCAAATGTGTTTCTGGGATACACGGATGAATAGACACAGAGTACAGAACCATCTCTGGGCCTGGCCTTCAGGTTTCCTCAGGATCACCAACTGCAGGTAGACAAAGGACAAGGCCTCACACTAGGAAGGAGAGAAAAGCCAGGCCATGCTAGGTGGCAGCTCACGATCAGGAATGCTGAGAATTCTAGGCTTGGATGGCACACAAGTCCTTGTGGTGAGAAGAAGGCTAAGGCATATAAGTGGGCTTGCTGCAGCTGGCACATGGTAGACATCCAACCAACAGTGCCCATTTCCCTTTGTGAAGGTACCATCCTGCCCATTTTCCTGCCCATTTGCCCTCCATGTGTGTAGGGCTCATTTTACCCTCCTGTGGACCCCATGCCTTTGTCTAAGCCAACCAGTTTCTAAATGACACATAGAACTGCTTATTCCAATAGCAGTGACTTCTATCTAAGGTAAATTATTTTCATTTCTATCATCCTGACAACTTTGAGCTGCTGTTTCACTGGGGAGATGCAGGGAGGAAAAGACAGACATCATATACATGTTTTAAAAAACATCCTAGTAGTTGCTAATCTAGATGATTAAAAGCATACATTATTTAAACTGCAATCATCTATCCAGATGCATGCCTGTTTCTCAAGTAGGTTGTAAACCATGCAGACAGGAGTAAATCAAGGCAGGTGGAGGCTAAGGAATCAGTTTTTATACTACAGAGGAGGACATGATGTTTAAGGCCACACTGCCCCGAGTCCTGTCCAATGTCTTGTAATGGCCTGGAATTTTCCAATAAGCACATACCCTGTCACCCCTGGACACCTTCCACATCCCAGATCTTGAGCCTAGGACACCCCTCCAGTGAGAGCCTCTCATATTCCCTTGTCCCCGTGGAAACCGCTGTCGGAGTCTCTCTAGTGCTCCAGGGCCCCCAAGGCCTCCCTAGGTCCTACCCATGGGCTGATCCCAGGGTTCAATCTGGCCCAGATCTGTCAGTCAGAAGCACTCTCCCAACCACAGGCTAAGTCCTCCTAAGTCTACCAGCTGGCTGAGCTCTGTGGCCAGGCCAACTGTGTCCACCACAAAGACATACTAAGTATCATGGCTGGAGAGTGATGACCACATACCTCTTGGAAGTAAGGTTTCCAGTGCTCCCGGGTGAGCACAGGGCATCTCACCTCTGAGCAGACAACTCCCCACGCCACTGCTCCTCACTTACGCTCCTGCATACTCTGCTCGCCGTTCCTCCCTGCCTTCCTGTTTGTGAGACCAAGCACCCCCTTCTAAGATAATCTGCATTCATGATTCTGTTCATTTCCAGTTCTTTCAGGTATCAAGTTCTTATCCTATGCCAGATGCAGAAACTTAACTGAATTATCTTATTTACCTGCACAACCTAAGTATTATGATCCCCATATGCTTACATGAAGAAACAGAAGCCTGAACAGGTAAAGCGACTTGTCCAAAACCAAATGGCTAGTAGATGACAGAGCAGAGATTTGAACTGAAGTCTACCAGACAGGAGAGCCTGTGATCTTAACCACTGGAGCATGAATCTTCCTTCATTCATTCACAGCTACACCTTAGCACTGGCACCACGTCTGACAGGGGGGATTCTGTGGGGAACAATGCAAGGTGCTTCCCTTGAGCTCTCAGCAAAGGGAGGGACATGTAAAGGAAAGGTAAGTCAGCTAACTGGGTGGTGTGAACAGATTCCACGGGAACAAAGAGAAGGCAACCTGCCCCTCAGTCAGGCCCCATTCTTTCCTCCTCGCATTCCCAATTTCTTCTTTATGGATCTTTCTCCTCACTATCTCAATGATGTTTCCGACAATATCCCAATCTGCTGTGTTACAAAAAAACCCAAAAAACAAAAAAAAAATCTGCTCGCCCCTTAAGGCCTTCCACTTCCCATCCCAGGACGCTGGCTCCCTCCTCCTTCACTCCTTTCAACCAAACAGACGGAGTCTCCTAAGGATCCAGGACCCTTCTCCATTACTGAAAATCCAAAGATTTCCTGTTAATCCTCATTTCCCTTCACCTCTTGGCAACACTTTGGTCCATAAAGTCCCTCCCTCCCTGAAGCCCTCCTTCATACCCTGGGAGCCCAGTGCTATCTGTCCTCTAGTGACACAAGCTTCCTCACCAAGTCATGCCAGACACCTCTCCATCAGTGATGCCAGATCTTCAGCCGCCAGCTTCTCCTCCAGCCTGCCGATCTGACCTGCCCCTGGAACCTGTCTGCCAGGGACAGATGGCTACCTCATAATCTCAACTGTTGAAAACTAAAACCGGCTCTGTCCCTGCAAAGCCTGCTGCACACCGTCTGCCTTCTTACCCTTCCCAAGAGCAATGCCGCACCTAGTTTCTGGCTCTTCCTCCTCTGCTCTGCCCATGAGGCCAAGTCACAATGGCCACCTCATGTCATCAAGGCCCGTCTCCGCCCCCAGTCCCACCAGGTCCCCACTCCTGACTGGTACAGTAGGCCTCACACTCTCTGTGCCCTGCATACTCTTTCTGTCTGCTCTTTCCTCTCCTCTGTTCCATGAAAATAGGTCAAATCAAACTAGATTCGCTCTTACAGAACGTGGCCTGCTCACGCTGATGCGACGTCTTCAACAGCTCCTCCTGTGTGCAACAGCCTTGTTCCACCTACCATCTTATTCACTCTTTGAGTTAACGGAGGACAGAGCTAACAGGGGACTGTTCTAGATGAGGCTGCCTGAGCAACCCCAAAAAGCTGATGGATCTTGGAAATGGTCATCAGAGACATGGTGATGTCATGCGCCTCCTGAGAGAAGTACTCACCACCACCTACTGTCTTTGCAGAAAAACACAGAATCTGAACAAGCCTCTAAACTTAACTGCCAATTTACAGAAAATAGGGGTGAGAGGAACACATGAAAAAAACAACATGAGGACACAAAATTCAGACAATGGGAAACTATACACAACAAACTACCCAGTTACTCTTTTTAAACAAATAGACTGTGAGGAAAAAGAAAAAAAGAGGAGGAGAGAAATTATAGATTAAAAGAGACAATCGAATGTATTTTATGGACTTTTTGGGTCCCAATGTGAACATACTAAAAAATAAAAAAATGTGAGCATGGTTAAATGTTTAAGGATATTAAGAATTTGCATTAATATTTTAGGTGCAGTAACAGCATGGTTAAGTATGAAAGTATCTCTGAGATGTATATTCAGCTATTTAAAGTAATATGTTCACAATTTAACATACTTCGATTTAAAAGGAAATAAATGTAGCAAATATTGCAAAATATGAATATGTTTAAGTCTAGGTGATATGAACGAAGACTTTTTTTTTTTTTCTTTTTGGAGACAGAGTTTTGTTCTTGTTGCCCAGGCTGGAGTGCAATGGCACAATATCAGCTCATTGCAAGTTCCACCTCTCAGCTTCAAGCAATTCACCTGCCTCAGCCTCCCAAGTAGCTGGGATTACAGGCACCTGCCACCGCTCCCAGCTAATTTATTTTTATTTTTTATATTTAGTAGAGACAGGGTTTCACATTGGCCAGGCTGGTCTCAAACTCCTGACCTTAGGTGATCCACCCATCTCTGCCTTCCAAAGTGCTAGGATTGTAGGCATGAGCCACTGTGCTTGGCCAGATTCAAACTATTCTTTAACTTCATAATTCTATTTCTGGAATGCTAACCTAGGGAATAATCAAAATTAAGAGGGAAGAAAGGAAAGAAGGGAGGTGGTATATCCTTTTAAGATCTTAATAGCTACCAATACTCAGTGAAAAGACACTCATATTTTTTATAGGTAAGGAAGGAATGAAGGATTAAAATATATTTTGTGCAGAGAAAAATATACAAGAATCAATGGAAGATTTGAATCCAGATCTGTAAGGCACCAAGATATGCACAACAGGTTGTTCTGTTTGTAAGTAATCTAGAAACAACTCAAAAATCTAACAAGGGTATAGTGAAGTACATAATAACTTGCCTCCTAAGAGGTTTGCACAACCATGAAAAAATGAAAATGACACTTTTCTAAGACTTCTAAGAGCTTGGTAGAATGCCTGTGATGCATTAAGTAAAAACCCAGACAAGAATTCCAAAAGAAAAAGATGACTGGCATATTGTTTAAAATACTATAGAAAGAGGTAAAAATAAAAAAATAAAAAGTGAATTGTCCTTGTCTGGGGGTTGAAATTTTCTCCCTTTATAATTAGGGCAAAAATATAACTGGGAGTGGGGGAAGAAATGCTACCATTTTTCAAGGCCCAACCCACCATCACCATGTTTTAAAATCACCTCCCCAGTCCTCTTCACTCACACTGGAAGCTTCTCCCTCTCCTAAGGTCCACGTGAAGTGTGCCTCCCTCTTGCATATCACTTCCTGCCTCCCCTGCCCTGTGGGGGAAGCCCTGAGAACAGGGACCTTGTGCCAGGAGTTTCTGTGTCTGCCACAGTACTTTGCACATAATTGCATTTAACAAAAACTATTGCCAACTAATCCAGTAGCTTCCTTCCAACATTGTTCTATATCCTCTCAGTTGAATGAAGCTCAAATACTATAGGGGTCTTGGGAAAATGCCAACAACTCACACCACCCCAAAGTGGGTACTTCCTTAAATTCTGCACCCAAGGGTGCCTCTCGCCTCCACCTAGTCCAGGTCCTGCCCCAGGGGATGCCCCCACACCTGCTTTTAGGAACACAGTGGCATGCAGGAGCCTGACACCCACCCTACCTCTGACGTAGGCTACGTAACCTTAATGACCCCTAATACCCAAAATGAAGCAAAGCTTAATAAAGACTACAGTCCAGCTACTTCAGCCTCTAACCCAGTCACAAACCTACACTCCTGCTGGAGTCTTTCAATTTGTTTTCATGTCTCTACAAACTCAACTATAGCCAATCTTCCTAGAAAACGACTGGAATTTCCCTAGAAAGTAATCTGACTTGGCTAGGAATGTCACAGCACACATTTCACCTAGCTATTATGGTCTGGCTAAATAACCTGGATGTTAGTTTATTGCCCCAAACCAGGTTCAAAAGATAACAACAAACCTTCAGCCGGTGATACTTAAGAAAATAGTGACAGCCCCAACATGAAACAGCAGCCAGGCCTATCAGGGGATGTTCAGTCATTATTCAGAGGGAGGAAAGTGGCTGTGAGGCTCCCAGGGCTCACCAATGCTTGTTCGTCTCTTCATTTCTGGATCCCAGCATCTGGTCAAATGCCCATGACAGGCCTCAGGGGTCAGCTGAGCAGCTTGCCAGCCCTGTTACTAGAACAGGGGGCAATTCTGACTCACAGAGAGCAGAAGCCACAGAAGACAGTGGAGACGCAGGCCAAAGCGAAGGCCAAGTGAAGTCGGGGGTTTGACATACACTTATCTGAAAGCATCTGCACCCTCAAACTTCCTGACCTCTCACGCTGTTACCAGGCCACACAGCAGACAGGCTTCCCTCCCCACCCACTGTGATAACAGTGGCCCAGGCAGCAAGGAGAACTCCATCCAAGCCTGGTCCCATCAGCCACATAGAGCTCATCAACAGAGGGTGAGGTGTGTGGAGGGGGGATGCTAGATTGGATCATGGTGCTCCCGCTGGGCTCAGAGAGACACCTGATACCTGGGACAAGTCACTAAATGTCAAGAGGTGGCAGGGGAGTGGAGGTGCTGAGGACCCACAGCAGTCCGCAGACATACAGGGAACACCCTCTCAAGATTTCACTGTTCCTGGGGGCTGATCTCACACGTACCCATGCATGACCCTGCAGAAGCTGGGTCGGGGAGGAGACGGAGCCCCATGAGAGAATGGAGAGCAAGGAAGGACCACAAAGGTACTGCCCAGCTTCTCTTTTATCCACATGTACCATCCATAAGGGAGTCCTAGAATGCCAGCAATTAGAAGCCGGCTTCTATATAGAGAATTCCCCATTGCCCATCCTTCTGCCAAAAAGGAAGAAAAATAAGAAAACAAAGCAGCAATACTGAATTAGTCGTTCTGGATTGCCCTTCCATTAAGACATGTGCATCACATTTAAATCCTTTCCCCAGCTGCACACGAGATTCCCTGCAAAGAGCTGACAGAAAGCACCTGCTGTACCTGGGCTCACATAGGAAGGCTGTGTTTTCCCCGTCTGCTCGCCAAACAAGCCACTCCCTGAAGGATGGGTGGCAGAACATGCGGGTTTTGTCTCGCCTCTTAATGAGGAAGCAGGAGAGGGCCTCCATCCTCTGCTGAAAGTCTTCCCATCCCTGATCCCCCTGGATGTGGCCGGCATTAATAGCCTGAAAGATCTGCTCGTCTGTCATGGGGTGGAGGGATGCAAGGGCCACGTTGAGAATCGGAAGTGCCCTCTCAAAGGCAGACTGGGTGATGAACTTCATGTTGCACTGTAGCAAATAGAGCTCAGAGAGAGACACGGGCACCACCTTGTAGCTGGCGCTCTTAATGACCAAGTGGCCCCTCTGGAAGAGGTCCAGGGTGAGCTTGAGGTACAGGTAGGAGCCGAGGCTCCGCAGCACCAGGTGGCTGCTCACTTTTCCAATGAGTGTGGCATCGGCCTTGCCATTCAGGGAGATGTTGCTGAGGATGTCCTGACTGCTGTGCATCCTGTGCTGGACGTAGGCGTGCAGGTCGCTGTGAATGTCTTTGTTGTCTGGGAAGTCATCTAAGGAAAGCTTGACAAATGGCAGCGCACTTATGATTTCCTGAGGGGAACAACCAAAAACCCACAGTGTCACACTCTACAGAAATTTCTTTTTTATTTTAGCAGCACTTTAAACCAGATTCACTAGTTTTCTTTCAAGGAGGATTTTCATGGATTACAGGGACTCATTGTTTTGTATTAAAACGTGTAATAGGATAGGGTGAAGATAAAAAGCTTATGTGAAAGAAATCCTGATGGGAGATAGAATCAGTAAATGCTCTCCTGAGACCCTCATCCAAGGACCCTGAGCCTAGTGAGTAGAGTCAGAGCCCTGCACAGACAGTGGCAACGAGGCCAGAGCCAGTAGGGGCAGTGAGACTCTGTGGGTGACTTGATACCCATAATCCTTACACTGTGCAATTGCTTATATAACAAGGACAAACACAAACTAACACGGCGCATCTAAGAACATGGCCAGACGCCAAGATAAGAGGCATCCTTCTTTATGCATCAAACACTGGGGCTGTGTAACCCAACCAGGAAATCTGAGACTGCCGCTGGGCTGTGTCTCCATGACAGCATGTCTTAACAAAGCTGACTACTTTGATATAGCACGTTACTTTTTAAAATTGTTTTTAAGTAAACTTTTGAAGTCTAAAATATGAACATATAATTTGTGCCCAAATCACAATTGCACAGTGTCACTGATTTTCACTAAGTCAAATACACCTGTGTAACCAGCACCCAGAAACAGATCATCCTCAGCTCCCAGAAGCCCGATGTGCCCTTCCCATCTCTTCCTCATTCCAAAGATTAGGCACAGGTGACATCTAGCAGCAAAGAAGAGTTCTGCCTTTGTAAAAAAAATTTCCCACTATTTTTTCTTAAGTATTTAAATGGATGTGCAAATTTAATATAACAATGTAGATAAAGAGGACAGAATACAATTATTCCCGTTTACATGGATGCTACTGAATCTCTGAAAACTTACACAGCTGGGAAGAGGAATGTAAGATTCCTGGTTCCCGTGCTCTACTCATTGCCAAATTGTGCTTATTGTGTAAAAAATGACTGCAAAGTATACAAATTGAATGCCCAAAAAAAAAGCATCAAGTTCAACTGAGGTCTAATTTCAGTTTTTATTATGAAAAAATTCCAAACCCTGTTTTAAAATAATTATAAGCAAAAATCAAAATCTAATGTCTAAAACTCTTTACTGAACAAGGGGGTATAGAAGGAGTCAATGGTTAAGATACAATTTTTAGGGTTCAAGTGAGGAAGAAGACGGAGGGTAAAAATCATCCTATCCCTCACTGCAAATGTTACCTCATATTTAAGTTTTGTTAAAAAATAGATCTCTGAGAATAGGCCTTAACAATATTTCACCTTCGGCCGGGTGCAGCAGCTCACACCTGTGATCCCAGTACTTTGGGAGGCCAAAGTAGGTGGATCACCTGAGGTCAGGAGTTGGAGACCAATCTGGCCAACATGGTGAAAACCCATCTCTACTAAAAATACAAAAATTAACTGGGCACAGTGGCACATGCCTGTAATCCCAGCTACTCAGGAGACTGAGGCAGGAGAACAGCTTGAACCTGGGAGATGGAGGCAGAGGAGGCTGCAGTGAGCTAAGATCCCACCACTGCACTCCAGACTGGGCAACAGAGACTCTGACTAAAAAAAAAAAAAATTCACCTTCATTTTTTCCTTCAAAAAAACACAAAGCCCCACAGCAAACCCATATAAATAACTACTAGCAGGAGTAGCTTTAAACTCTGGCAAGCCTCCTGGACCCACACACTCCATGGCAGTAACCAGGGCTAGCTGCCACCATTTGAAAAGTGAACCTGCAATTCGATGTGGAAATGTACCTGATATCTTGATAAATATGTCTGGGGCTAAAAGGGTCAGCGTTTCACCCATGGGGGGCGGGGGTCTCTGGACTAATTTTTCAAATTCCTAACACAGCTTTCAATTCAAGCAGCTCAGTGGTTTACAATAGTTTTGTTATTAATATTTGTCACTGTAAAATTGGAATACGGGGACTTGGAAAGAGATTTGAGAATTCTTTGTTACCTGAAAATTTGCTCTTACAGTCACAATCAACTTTAACCAGGCAGGAAATTTAGAAATAATTTTGGTAATAAATGAAGAAAGTGTATCTCCATAATCAGGTTTATGAAACTCAGCTTCATTTAAGCCATCTATCAAAATAATGTATTCTTCTTCAGGAATTTTCTGCTCTAAAGGATAAAATAATTTTTTCAAATTAAGAAATTATACATTTCTATAAGACAGCACCACCCAGTGTATTTTAATGCCCAGTTTACAGTGGTAGAAGAAACTAAAAAGGTTTACATATGGCACAAGAAACAGTTTTCACAAAAGCATATTTTCTATTAAATTTATAATGAAAACTGGAGCTCAGAGCCAAAAGAAAACCAGTTCTCACAAAACAGAAACATATTGCGTGACACACGTTAGCAGAATCTCACTCATGTATATAATACACTCAGCTCTTCATAAACCCTTGTCACTGGGGTGGGCCACACAAAGACAATAAACATATACAGAGGCCAAATCTGGAAAGATCACTAGGTTCCCCCTGAGAGTCCTCAGTGGTTTCCAGGGAAGGAAAACTGACCCCCTCGCTGCCCTCAACCCAGGGCAAACTGCCTGGCCCAAGCCACACAACCACAGTGTGAGAGCCCCACGCTACTGACTCCTCCAACAGGCGTCTTCCACGCGAGCCTGAATCTGGTTTTCTATTTATTAGTGCTGATTTTCTGCCTGGGCAATAGAGAAGAAATGATGACATATCTGTTTTCTACCCCTCTCTCTAGCACCTTCCAGCAGAGGTGCCAGGTGGGCAGGTAAACAAACTCAAAAAGCGAGGAGTCGAGAAGAGAGAGGATGGGAAACTGAAGGGCCCATCAAGTCATTCATGTCCTCTACCTTGTTGGAAACAAAAAATTAAAATGGAAACCTTTAGAAGTCACTTTAACATTTCAATTCAACTGAGCAGAGGTCCTGACACACATATATGCTGGAAAATTCCCCCAAATAATTCACTTATTCCTTCAGATACCTAGGAGTGCAAAATATGCAACAGTCTTCTGTGGTACAAGTCATCTAAACAGCCCACAGTTACAAATTGACTACTTTGGAACTGCTCAGTCGTCACATTCATTCTTCATTTAACACTATACCATGAGGGTGGTATAGGAGAGACCTCATGGGGCTGGTTCTGGGAAAGAGGACTGGATGGGCACTGAGGCTTCCACCTCCTCTCCCTGCTCCACCTCACTTCTACCCCAGGGCCCAGCTGACCACCCGCCCTCTGGGGACTCCTTGATTATGCTGCACCACTACTAAGAGGGGGCTGTGGGTAACTGCTGTGAGGTACCATTTCTCAGGTTTGTCAGCGGCTCCAGCACTCCCCTCTTGAAAGCTGCCACCGGGTCCTGCACACAGGATCGGAGGCTCAGCATGCTCTGTAGCTGGGGCTCCTTTATCAGAAGGTCTCTGTAGGCGGCTAGCTGATGGGACCGGCAGAGCAAAGCTGCAATGCTGTGCACAAACTCCGGCACTAGGCAAGTGTACGTGTTGTCAGCCTGGCAGTAATGGTAGGCCACCACCTAGGGGGAAACAGAACTGTCAGCGTCACCTCACCCTCTTCACACAGCTTCTTCTGCGATCTCAAACGGGAACGCAACTCTGCCCGTTCGCAGAGATAACAAGATACTATAAGATACAGAGCGTCTACTCCCCAAGACTGAGTCATTTGTTAGCATAATTGTCCTATTTATTCCTTCCTTGGTGTGGCTTTCAGACCTTTAACGGCATCCACAAATCCATCTTGATTAGCATAAAAATCAGCACAAGTTACTTTGTATTCAACGTGTTTAAACAGCATTCATAAAATCTAGCTACCTGGCTCAGAGCAGCTCCAAGCCATTCTAATATTCTCAACATCAAAAAGTGCCATCTTCACTAGGCTTTCTGTTCTCAAGGGCAGCACCACCTCTTGAGGCTTCCACCTCCTCTCCCTGCTCCAAAAAAGGGAACCCTTTTGCTGATCCCAAAAGGCAGATGATAAAGCCGGTGACTGTGAGACTGTGGCTGTAGAATCACAGCAGCCCCTTCCCAGGTCAGGGGGACTCAAGCCCTTGGCTCCTCCCCACACCCGCACTGCATCAAGGGACCCTGTGGAGAAGTTCAACAGGGTCAACACTGTCTGAAGAATGAAACCCGAAATCACCAAATCTCTGCCTTTCATGTGGAGAGACAAGTTGGAGGAGAGAGGAAGCTGCCCAGGTTCTGAGAGGAAAAGGAATGGTCCCTGTCCCAAGGGACCTACAGCGGCAGCAGGCTGTTTGAGAGAGGGACCCCAGAAAAGGGCCAGACACAGAGCTGTTGGGGATGAGAGGCATGCTGTAGATATAAGAAAAATGCAACACTTTTCCAAAAGAAGATCAAAGGAGGAACACAAGTACAAGGTAAGGAAGGCAAAGAAGAGCAAAGCACTCGTGCCAAGAGCTGCATGTTTTTGGGAGTATCTGCCTTGCTGCTGTCCCACTGGGCACAGCAAGCCCCTGCAAGAAATAGGACAAGAACCACTAGCCACAGTTCATCACTGAGGGCACCAGACACTGATGTTAGATGCCTTGCCAACCTGACACAGTTAGTCAGTCAAGGATAGGGGATTAAATTCCAGGTCTGCAGACTCTTTAAAAAGCAAATGGCAAAGTAAATGTGCAACAGCCTTTCTCTGGCCAACCTGGAGTTGTCATGAGACTTTGGTTTAAATTTATCATCAATATACTCAGAAGAAAGTTGGCTGCTCTCCAACTCTCACCTGGACAGAAATCAGTAGGGAAACACGTGAGGATCCTGTAAGTGTGTCCAAGCCATCATGAGGTGTCCAGTATCATGGTCTCACACGGCGTTTGACAAAAGCAGCTTGGCAACCCAATGATGGGTCATGAAATCAATTTATTTATTTATTTGTTTGAGATGAAGTCTTGCTCTGTTGCCCAGGCTAGAGTGCAGTTGCACAATCTTGGCTCACTGCGACCTCTGCTTCCCGGGTTCAAGCGATTCTCCTTCCTCAGCCTCCCGAGTAGCTAGGTAGCCACCACCACGTCTAGCTAAGTTTTGTATTTTTAGTAGAAATGAGATTTCAACATGTTGGCCAGACTGGTCTTGAATTCCTGACCTCCAGTGATCTGTCTGCCTCGGCCTCCCAAAGTGCTGAGATTACAGGCATGAGCCACCATGCCTGGCCTTGAAATGTATTTAGAGCCACAGTTTTTTGTTTTAAATAAGCTTAGGATTACTAGTGTATTATAGGATATAAGAATAAGCATGGTTCCAAAATGTTTTTGCTTTAGTTATGTGGGTGATTATGTGTGAGTACTGGATCTCTAGTCTAAGATGTATTTCTTATGTGGGTCACAGTCAATGGGGTTTGAAAATCACCGTAAACAGGGATGGCTTTGAAGCCTGAACTACATCACTCTTCTCAAAGCACCCACTCATGACCAGAGGACTGTTCTGGACCAGTGGTTGGAAGCATCAGGGCTGATGGTGCCAAGAGTGGTCATCATCCAGGAAGCAGAAGAAGGAACAGGGATCTGGTGCACAGCAGGTCTTGGTTCAGCTTTCCTCACCAAACTCCCCACAGGGCCTCCTCACAAAGTGTCCCTATGGCTGCCCACTCAGGCAGCTCTCCAGCTTAACTCACTCACACCACTGCTGCCCCAGGTAAACCTAAGTAGCTCCACTAGGGGCAAAGGATATAATGCCTTAATGTAGGATTGTGGCTGGTGAACCAGTGATGGATGCTGAGCAGAAGGAAAACTTCACAAAGACCCTGATGGTCATGAATTTAGAAAGGAAAAGTCAGCCAAAGAAGGCTCTAGCAAAATTTCACAAGAAACCTCTTGTTAGAAAGCCGAGGGAACCAAAGGCCTCAGGCAACAGAGTGTAGGGAAGAGGTCTGGGTCAAGTCAAAAGCTCCAAAGTCTCCTGCTCACATACCAAATTAAGAAGAGTATATACAGATAAGCATGGATTTGTGGCCAGTACACATGCTACCTTCTGCTGCCTTGAGGAACTCTTTCAATCCATTGTTTAAGATGGATCAGGTTCACTGCCAATGACTTAAGACAGATATTTACTGTCATTCACACTTTTACTTGGAGAACTTCATCATTATTTCATCAAAAGCTATACTTTATCATTAAGCAATTGTCTCTGTTTTAAGCTCCTTTTTCCAATTTACTTCTCAGAAACCAAACTAACAAATCTATCTGGAAGGCTCCCATAAAACAAGAGAGATTACCTTAGAAGCAAGATATTTCACTGCATCCTCTCTTGGTCTCTGGTTTTCAGCACTGCCAGACCCGAGAGGTATTTTAGCTGAGCTGGAAGCACTTGTGGAAGAACTCGGTGAAAGCAACGGGGTGAAAGGAAGATCCTGAGTGGGGTCAGAGGCTGCAGAGAAAGACCCATTTCATTATGTACACCAGTGTAGGAGCAAGGTGAGATACTGAATATATTTCTTGATTCGCCCCAGGGAACATTTTTAATAGATAAGGAGTGAATATGGTCCAAATTTCAGAGGTCCACATGAGAACACAGGTTCACCATCTGTCACCCACCCAATCAGTTCCCCTCCGTGGAGAACTACCATCTGCTATTTCCGGTTTCCACCGTTAATTTTTTTTTTTTTTTTTTTTTTTAGACAGGCTCTTACTCTGTCATCCAGGCTACAGTGCAGTGGTGCAATCCCGGCTCACTGCAGCCTTGGTTTACTGGGCTCAGGTGATCCTCCTACCTCGGCCTCCTGAGTAGATGGAACAATAGGTGTGTGCCACCATGACTGGTTATTTTTTTGTAGAGATGAGGTCTCCCTATGTTGCCCATGCTGGTCTTGAACTCCTGGGCTTAGATGATCTTCCCACCTTGGCATTCCAAAATGTTGGGATTACAGATGTGAGCCACTGTGCCTGACCTATTGAATTCTTTTGGGTCTTAAAGAATCTTGCATGGTTCACTTGTTCTTGTTCACCATGTTTAGAGTGGGCTTATTGCATATGAAATAAGGAGTAGATAGTCAAATGTTTGGCTACTCTAGCTCATGTCTTTATCATTTTGGTAAATCCAATACAGAATTGAGGCAGGAGAATCGCTTAAACCCGGGAGGCAGAGCTTGCAGTGAGCCGTGATTGTGCCACTATGCTCCAGCCTGGGCGATAGAGCTGTGCCAAACAGGGTACAAAAGAACTCCACATTAGACTCCATCTGAGTTTGTTCTGCCAGGAGCCCAACTCCTTGTTCTTAGGGCCTCAAATTCTACAGGGCACTTGATCAGGCCTCACTGGCCCATCTCTGCCTGCACCTCAAGGAAGAGAGGGGTTACAGTTCAGGAGGCCATCAGGGAACCCTGGCCTCGCCCCAGCTTGCAGCTGACTACATATCATGACAGAGGGATGTATTCAAATAGTTCACTTCACACACGATTGCAAACCTGATATAGTAGCTGCAACAACTTGAGGAAAATTGGTATTTTATGTCTACGCAAACAGCAATTTCCTCCATCCATCTTATGTTAATAAACTAGACAAGTAATTAAATACGCATGTACTTTTAGGTGATGAACCAGGGCTGTTGGAAGCAATCTGCCTCATGCGGCTTCCGTGGCAACTCAACGCCACCAACTTGGAAATGATCGCTGTCTTCCCAAATCCCACATTGCCAACCACCACCGCGCCTCTGTTTTCTGCCAGTTCTGTGTTCCTCAAGTTTTCTTCTATTTGGTGAAAGAGCCAATCCCTTCCCACAAACACAGAGTCTGTTGTTATGCTTGGTACTTCAAACAACAATGGTTTCAACAAAATGTCTTGTGGCTTGTAGGGAGCAAATCGTGCTTTAAAAAAGAAAACATTATTTTAGAAAAATGTCATAATTTTATAAACTAAGAAACTCAAATATTATTGCTTTTGTGCTATATTAAATCCTGACTTTTATCCCCACTACGATCTGTAAGCATTTCCAATCTGGCTCTACTAATACTTCTGTAATACCTCAATAATCACAGCCTACTGGACCTAGAGAGTGTCCTATTGAAATTACTTTCTAGTATGGTCACAGCTTTGAGTTATTCTCAGGACTCAAGGTAGACACACAGAGGATTACAGAAAGCCATGCACGAGGTCAAACCATGTCTCATTGCTTTATTTGGAACTGCATTTAAGATGTGTTTCTTCCCTGCTGTATGAATAAAATAAACATGTTTTCCCTAGAAATAGGGCTCTGCTCTCATCCAGGTGTGATGACACTTTGCCTGTATGGTCAGGCTGCTGTGTACCTCACACAACTATGTTACATGTAAACAGACAACACAGCCAATGCAGTTCAAGGAATTTTTTTTTTTTTTAAGACAGTTTCATTCTTGTTGCTCAGGCTGGAGTACAATGGCATGATCTTGGCTCACTGTGACCTCCGCCTCCTGGGTTCAAACAATTCTCCTTTCTCAGCCTCCTGAGTGGCTGGGACTACAGGCCTGCACCACCATTCCCAGCTAATTTTTGTATTTTTTGTAGAGTCGGGGTTTCACCATGTTGACCAGGATGGTCTCGATCTCTTGACCTCGTGATCCACCCGCCTCGGCCTCCCAAAGTGCTGGGATTACAGGCTTGAGCCACCGTGCCCAGCCAATTTTTGTATTTTTAGTAGAGACAAGGTTTTACCATGTTGGCTAGGCTGATCTCGAACTCCTGATCTCAGGTGATCCACCCACCTCACCCTCTCAAAGTGCCACCACCCATGGTCCAGTCCAAGGAACTGAAACAAAGCTTATACTTTGTTAGTAATTAAAAAAACAAAAAAACAAAACAAAAAAAATAACACCTAGTAAGTGTTAAACTGCTCCTCACTTCAAAATAACTTACTGCAGAATTATTTTTCCAATTCCAGAAGCAAGTTAATCACATATTTTAAGGAAGAAGCCCCAAACTGTTTGAGGATACCCCTTAGCACAACTCACAGATACGTTTTTAGCACAAACACACTTGTCATGTTATAAACACAGTTGGCTTCAATGCTGGTTATCGAAGACTTTCAAAGTTATTGAATGAGTTCATCATGACCATTATCACAGTGGATGCAAGGATAAATACCTTTAACTTCCTGTGCCCTACCTCCAGCTGTATTGTGCCATGGTAATCTAATTGATGTCCGGAGAGGAGCATTTCTCTGCCCGTCTAAATAACTCAGATCTTCCAATTTGGTTGAGCTTGTGGCTGTAATATTAAACTGAAGTTTAGTATCTTCAAAGCTGACTTTAATTTCATACCTAAGTGACTATAATTTACAAATCACTAAACAATTCAGTTCAGGTTTTCAACAAAATTTACTTAAATGTCATTTTGGCATTGTTTGTCTCAGTTTATTTTTCTGGCAATATTATTAATTTAAAGGTGGTAAAAACCAAGTGCTGATGCTTCTTAAAGTTATGCTGACTGGGTTTCCAGAATTCTCCATTATTTCTGGAAAGAGACAGAATTCACCAAAAATTGTTTGATGAGGAAATCTGACAATCATGTAGCACACAGCAAAGCTTCAGTACTTACCATAAGCAGGTGGCATGCTGCTAGATTCTTCTCTGCAGCTCTGGGGAGCTTTCCACTGTTTGGAATTCCAAACTTACTAATTAAATGGGCAGATTCTATGTGTACAATTCCACAGCACCCAGAACACTAAAAGTTAACTCTCAATAGTAACAGTGCAATCATACCCCTAAGTTTCAAACATATGTATAGAGTATATATAAACATTATATATCAGATTTCATTTTATAGGTATTTTTTTTAATTCTAAAAATGTTATGTTTACCTCTGACCAAATCAGTAAGATGCATATCACATAGGTACTTGTTATAAAGCATTAAAGAGCTGGGGACAGTGGCTCATGCCTATAATCCCAGCACTTTGGGAGGCTGGGCGGGTGGATCGCTTGAAGTCAGGAGTTCAAGACCAGCCTGGCCAACATGGTGAAACCCTGTCTCTACTAAAATACAAAAAAAATGAGCTGGGCATGGTGGCAGGTGTCTGTAATCCCAGCTACTGGGAGGCTGAGGCAGGAGAATTGCTGAAACCCAGGAGGTGGAGGTTGCAGTGAGCTGGGATCAATCTCCTTTACTCCAGCCTGGGTGATAGAGCAAGGCTCTGCCTCAAAAAAAAAAAAAAAAAAAGCATTAAATATCTATTCAAACATTGATACAAGTTAGATTACAAAAATAACTAGAGCAAAATAATTTTGCTAATTCTCAAGAAATCTTAGAAGCCAGTATATAGTAGACATTTTTGCCTTTTAAAAACCCCTCCATCGAGTAATACCAAAAGACAGTCGCAGGTAAACAAACAAACAAAAAACCCTCCTACTGCATTGAGAAAAATCTAAATAAAATTAACCTAATTTGGTGTATAGATTAAGCCCAACATGAAGTACTGTTGATCTTAGTCAAATTATTATCTTCCAGGACTAGAAATTATATCATGATTTGATAGCAATTGAGAGTCTAGAGGGAGTCAGAGTCTGGGTCAAGGCTTTTTAGGAGTGGGGATATCTTCAGTGGGACCAAGCTGCAGAGAACAGAAGTTGAGTTGGGCCATTTGTCTGCTGAAAACCCTCTGGCTGCCCAACAGGTTCTAACCCAACATCCAGCTGCCAACCAGTGCCATCCATCCTACCTGATCCCTTCCTATCTCTGCCCTCTAAGATTTCAGTCCTTCTCTTCCTCACTGTCTGTATCATCTGCTCTCATTCCTTCATTGGCCTAACTGTGCTGGCACATCCTCTCTCGCTGCATCCTCCAAAGGGCAATCTAACACATGGCCTGCTGACTCATCTTCCCAGCAAGCAAGAAACATCTGCAACCTTGACTTCACAACAGCATGCACCTATGCCCCTGCATCCTTCTGGTGCATATCCACAGTGTATACAAGTTTACGCAAATATTCTATGCACATCGCCAGCTACCATGCAAATATTTCCCATTAGAAAGACTCTGCTAATTCCTTGTCAGAACTTTTAAATGGATTGCATGTATGGTAATCCAAGAGCAGCCTCTAGCTTCTCTCTAGGGCCTTCATAAGTAGGGTGTATAAAACCTCCTGGAGAGCCAATAGGACTACACTGTCTTCCCTCAGCCCTCTTACCTCCCTACAGTAACACAGCTTGGAACATTTTCTAGGCTCCTGCCTGATCCCTGGGACCCTTCTCCTCACACATCTCATGGTGAATGCACCCACCAAGGCACAGGTAGAAGGGGCAGGCAGCCACACTCATAACCTGTAACTCATTTCAGAGGCAGAATAGTCATGAACATCTGACATAATGCTGCAGCTCTAGAGAATACAAAGATGCTTTAGAGCCTCAAAAGCACTGAGGCTTATTTCCCTTCTTCCCCTGACTCCTCAGAACATAACATTGAGCTTATAATTTTATGACAACTGAAAGGATTAAAAATATGTGACCATAAAGGGCATTACAAATAACAGATTGAAGAAATGCCCTAGAATGTAGCTAAACAGATGCAGAAGATGGTAAGATTTCACAGGCCTGTTTTCAGATTCCGAGTCACTAAAGCTTCAGCACCAAAATCTGTAACAGAGCAGCCTCAGCACTTCCACAGCTCTTGGCTGATTCTCAATTTCAAATACGATTAAGCTGAGCTGAAAGGTGCAGCGGGGCCATAAGCCACTACCTGCCAGCCATCTCAGCTTTCTAAGGCATTTTTGAAGCCACCAATAGAGGTGCCAGCAAATAGGGCAGGGAAACTTCAGTGGCTTAGCTATGTGCCCAGGTGTTACCCACCCTCTGAGCAGGTAATTTGGGCCACTCTGCCCTCTCAGGCATGTCTACAGTAGATTCTCAGACGTTACCTGTGCAAAAGTCAGACTCACATTCAGTATTTACCCAAAACACTTTCAAAATCCTAAACACTACTTGAGGCCAAAAAAATCCCCCAAAGGTAAAGCAATAATTTCATGCTACATTGCTAGAATCTCTACAGTGAAATTATACACATATCGTGCATGTGTGTGTGCACGCACGCACGCACGCATGCACACACACACACACACAACATCTGGATGAGAAGCACATTTCAAGATGCGGGGAGAAGAGTTTGTTTTTTGGTGGGGGTGGGCTTGGTGGAGCAAGGCAGAGGGAGACATCTCTAAGCTGGACAAAGAGGAACATTTGCCAAAGTTGTGGACTAACCTATGGAAAGTACATGCCAGTAAGTCCAGGGCAATGACCAGTTTTAGGAAAACTGAATTGCAATTGTGCTTGTTGGTTTCCTGGAAAATTAAACACAGTGTTCTGTAATCCACTCAGAAAGTACTTTGAAAGGAAAAAAAAAAATAGTAAAAAATAGTAGTACCCATTACCTGACTTCTATGTGATTTAAAACATACTTTTAAAGCCTTCCCGGTCTGTTTTTAATAAAGAAAAGAAATGTCCATGTCATGCATTTTGATGTGATATATAGTTGTCCACACCAATCCTACTCTAACAAATATCTTTACAAAGAAAATCTGTATTGTGAAACAATCTCAAAACCTAGCCAACTTATTTTTATAATATTTGACAAAAAATAAAAATTAACCATGTCACTACTACATGGTTAACAGACAATTCCAGTTCTCTGTAGCAAGCTCAGTAAAGGACCTTAGGAAGAAGTTCTGCACCCCACCCCCTAGGGGCCAGTCCCATGGGGAGGCTGTGAACAGAGGCCTGGCATCAGTCTTCCTTTACCTGCCAACCCTCATGCACCAAAACACCTTTCCCACCAAAAGGCAATTCGTTACCTGTATTGTAACATGCAAATACTTCTAAGATATTTCTGTATATATTCTGATTCTTCTAACACTGAGTGTTCTCTGCTGCCCTGTTTGCAGCAGCCTGCCTTCTAATCGCTAAAGAGTGCTGCACAGAATCTATACAACCTGAACCTTAACTCTTCAATGGTACTTGAAAAATCTTGCCATTTCCTCTTAACTGAGGTTCAACTTTAGGGGCAGGAAGGGAGGCAATGAAGAATCTACCAGACTCCTAGCTTGTTAACAGATACCATGAAATAGGCCTTTGCTCACTTCCTTTCAAAATATTCATTTAGTTTAAAAAATATGCAGCACAGAAGAAACGAGCAAACCCATTAGGCCAGGTAGACTTTGCTCAAATCTAGAGGTAAAAACTCTCCCATTCCACAGGAGGTCTAGCTCAAGGGCACACACACAGAAGCTAATGAATGCGCACAGCAGAAATCAGAAAGCTCCGCTCTATAATCACGGCAGTCTCCTGGAAAAGCTCAGCTCACACCCACTGTCACTTCACATGGCAGGAGACCCATAAAAGAACATCAAGCAGAAAACAACCCCAAATGGGATGCTTTTAACACTGTTAAAATTAACACAGTAATGTTTCTTAATTTTATAATAGCTTGACTAAATTGAGCGCAAGTTCGCTATTTTTGTTGAAGTCAATAAAGTGATCAAGTTCTGGGGATAATACAAATGACCCATTCATCATAAATAGCTAAATTCTGTCTAAAGCGCCCTGAGTGCCACACACTGTGTTAAAGTGGTGGGACAGTGGTGAGAGGACAGGAAAGCTGTGGAAGGACCATCAGTCAACTTGTATAATGTTCTCTAGTATTTCTCTCTGGCAAACATGCCAAATCCCTCTTCTGGAACAAGACCATTTCACTTCCTTTGAAAGTGAATTAGAGTTGTGCCTCAGAACTTTTCCATTAGAGCCAATTATTTATCAGCTACTTCTGAGTTCCAGTATAAAAAACACCCCACAACCATCAGAGTGACCCACCGCATCCTGAAAGCAGAGTATAAATCACAGAGAAATCCTCTGATGCAGGGAAGGAGAATCTGGGTCCCTGCATTAGAATAGAAATGTTAAGTGCTACATTGATAACAAAGAATGACTGTATCAAGTTCCTCTTCTAAATTCAGTGCAGGGGCATGGAGTTAGAAACTGGAAACCTTAAAAACAGGCACCACAGCTCAGATGCAGAGAGCTCCTTTCCCCACCCATCTGGAGCTATAGTCATCCTTCACTAAGCACTGGAGATCAGTTCCAGGACCCCTTGAGGATACTGAAATCCTCAGATGCTCAAGTTCCTTATATAAAATGGTGTAATATTTGCACATAACCTACAAACATCCTCCTATATCCTTTAAATCATCTTTAGATTATTTGTAATACCTTGTATTAGGTATCATACATCATTGTATTATGTAAATAATTGTAAGACTAGATTTTCAAATTCTTATTTTATCAATTTTTTCCCTGGGTATTTCTGCTCCGTGGCTGGATGAATCCGCAGATGTGGAAAGGCAGATACAGGGGACGGACGGTACTCTCCTTGCCTGACATACATCCACCAACCAGTTCGACTACTGACAGTTGCCAGCCTTTGTGCTCTCTTCTTTGTTCCAGCTGCTGCATCGTGGAAAAGCATGTCTGTCTCAAATATTTTCATTTCCTTGATTGAGAGCTCTTTCTTCCACTGCTTACATTTTAAGTTCTGAGCTCCATTTTAACTAAATTATACAGAAATTTGGCCCTCTTGCCTGTACAATGGGCCTCCACTACACAAAAATAAGTTTGTAATGGTAAGAAGTTCCTTGACTGATATTAACAAACTCACTCAACAATTCCCATTTACCAGGATGTAATAAACAGTCATGAATTTTCTAAAGGTTAAAATAACACAAACCAAGAGGAGAGTTTTTATACTTTCTTCTTTTATAAAAGAGCCTGATAGTCCAAACCATTGACTTAAAAGAATTCCAGAGCAGAAGGATCACTTAAAGAGCATTAAGTCCAGCCTTCTTGTGTTTACAGATTAGCAAACTGAGGCTTAGAAAAGGCAAGTGCCTGACGTGGGGCCACGAAGCCAGCTTGTGTTTGGAATGTCTTCCCATGTGAAGACAGTGAACACAGGGCACCTCAGTCTCCCCGAGATAATACTTCCAGGGAGAGGTGTGGCCTTACCTGCAACTGAGTTGGGCCGTGGCATTATTAGTGAGCTGGAGCCCTGAGAGTAAGGGACCGGGCCATCTCCAGCTGAGGATTCTGCTTTGGGCAGCGTGCTCTCTGCTGAGGCGGTGGTCTCCTCTTCTGCCACTGGGGAGCAGTTATCTGCCCTGCGGTCATGAAGCACACCTTTCTGAACCCCTAATCTTAGGCTTCCGTCTTTATTCCATTCCAAACTGGAGCCACTCCGGTCATCATTTTCGGATGAACTTGTAATCGTGGCTGAAATGAGAGACCAAAATACTTTGAGGGAGGCCAGGCACAGCTAGGGCTGAAGAGTTAAAACATGCCCACTGCCCTCCCTAGGATCAATGGAAAGTTTTCCGGTCCACACAGATTTTTATCAAAGTATGTTCCATACAATGTATTTTGGTAAATTAGAAGAATGTGGCTAACCAGGGGAAATAAGCTGCTAAATCACTCTACAGAGAAGAGGAGAGAGGGAGAAACTCTGACAGGAAGATAATGAAAAAAACTGTCTAAAATGTATCAGAGTTAAATCTATGTAACCTGGAAATAACAGTATCCTCTCTTTTTAACAAAGATTACTCACAAAAGAATTCATGTCTCATTAAATTCCTTTGAACCTTTAAATATACTTTCCCTCATTGTTGGGTATGAGGGAGCGGGAATGAATAACAGAATGGTTAATGCAGAGACATACAGGAGAAAATCTTTAGAAACAAAAACACAATTATAAAGTCAAGCAGACAATCTGACCCTTAGACTTAAAGTTTATAATATCTGTTCAAGATGATCCAGAGAGACTGACTTACTATTCCTTCAGCAGCATGAAATGAAAAACCTTCCTGTATCCAGCGCAGGTGAAGCACTAGCATGGGAAGGTATACTATCACTGCAGAATTCACATTTAATCTCCAAGAGAAAAAAAAAAAACAGCAGAGAAAAAAGATAGGAAAAAACCTTTTGTAAACATCTCAGCAAAAGAGCAGAAAAAACATGGTCAAAGAGAGAAGCAATACTAACCCTACATAGCTTCTACAAAGAGCCACTTCTAATTTAAAGATGCTGAGCCATACAGGATCCCCTTGCAACCACAGGTCATTACCTGGGCCAGTCACAGCGCCCCACTGTTAGAACTAATTCTGGCTGCATCCTTGAGAACAGGGGCCACATCCACCGATGTCTCTTTCCCTACCTGTATTCCAGTCGCCTAGGCCCTCAACTGCAAGCCTGTTAAATGGGAGTGTGCAGGGCCAAAGTGCATTCAGAACCCAGCTCCTGGCTCAGGCCTCTTTAGCCACATACCAAGATGATATACACTTTTATCAGAAAGCTGGTGAATTAGCTCAGTGTCAGTTATTTAGGATCAAAGAGTCTGAAGGGGTTTAGCTTTGCTTATATTCTTTACAGTTTAGAAGACAAAACTATTTCCTTGCTGTGGCCACAGGACATCCTATCACAATTCTAAGACTGTCTTTACTGCTCCTACTGCTGCGGCATGGACTCAGCACCCTCTCTGGCTGTGTCCCTATTTTTAAAAAATCCCACATAAGTGCCGAAGCCTTCCCTAGAGTATCCATGGCAATCTTTTCCTTTTCTGAACAGCATAGCACATGGTAAGTGCTCAATAAATGCTTGCTAATTGAATGAATGAGTAAATGAATAAACTTCAATTCCATTTGTGGTCAGAGACACCACACTTGATCTCACTTATCAGTACAGGATCTGATTTTGGGTGCCCATCGTTATGACTCCCAGCATTTGCCAGTGTTCCATAGCAGTATTCAACCACACCCCCATCTTCTTTGGAATCAATCACAGGCTTCCGTGTGTTTTTAAATGGACCATTTATATGAACATAGGCACAGCAAATATGACTCTTTCTATCATAAAAATGCCAGTAGTGGTGTTGACAGCAGAAGCTAGCATTTACTGAAGTTTACTATACACTAGGAAGTGTGCTAATGTTTTTCAGGAATGGTCTAATTTATTGGTAAGTCTATTGCTTATTAATAGTAACCCTGTTAATAAGCTGAAAGTATAAAAACGCAGGCAGTCCCGTAGCACAGACTGCGGTGTTACAAACCTTCACATTTAAATCCAGTGTTTACAACTCAAAATGCTTTTCTAAGACATATTGGAATAACTTAGGTTTCCAGGCTACTCCAACATCCAAGTGACAAGAAGAGCTCCAGACTAGGAAGATAGGGGATATGTTTGGTTTTATTATTGTGGCTGTTACATTTGAGAGCACACATTTGTAAGTTGAACAAGCAAACCAAAAGTCAAAGTGCTCTCCCTAAGTACCAAGCACGTCTGAATCAAACCCCAAAGATCTGAGTCCTAACTAGGACCTCAAGTAGTGGGAACAGGGACTTAGCTCACTTCCTGTTACAGGTGACAGCATTGCCATCAGGACCTCAGGGACCCACGGCTCCACTGAGGATGGCTGGGAAGGCCAGGTCAGAGCTCCCGATGGCAGGACAGGCAGAAGGTGCAGCTCTCACTGGCAGGCATGTGCCCCACACGGTGCCCAGCGTCTGACAGGGGAAACACTCAGGTCCTGGCAGGGAGAGGACGGAAAAGGGGTGGGGGAGGAAGGGCCTAGCTGCAGGAGCAGTCACTGGGAAGAGAAGTCCCAGATGGGGTAACCATTTGGAAATGAATGTATTGTAAGGTCAGTGTTTATAAGAAGGAGACTAGTGAGAAGGAAGAGGCAGCCCTTCTGCTGCCCTCACAAGTTCCTGTAAGAGAGGCATTCCTGGTTCACATGTCCCACAGTTCTCAGAGGCAGGGAGGCTGGGAAATCTGAAGCCACTCCATGAACACTCCTTCCTGGGATTCAATACCAGATGTAGCCTACACAGCTGGAAGCCCAGACACTCTCATCTTGGCTCAGCTCTGCCTGAGCATTGAAGCAGATCCAGCCGAGCAGATAAAGGCCAAATCAGTCTGGCTTCCCTGCACAACCTAAGTGCCACACCAAACATGGCAACCCTGGAGAACTCAAGAAAGAGAAAGCTGGTTCTTCCAATAAATGACAGACTGCTCAAAAACATCTTTCTTCCCTGATTATAGAAATACAAACTCCTAATGAGGTTAACCCAGTCCGTCGCTCTCAAAAATGCGCATGCGAACACACACACAACCAGGGTAAAATATTAACTGTGATGACTTTTTAAAAAAATCTCTAAAAAGCACTATTTGACATTTCCCAGAGGCTAGCTAATCTTTATAGTTGCTTAACAATTTAAAAATTCTAGCATTTTGTTCTTTGGACTAGTATAGATAGCAGCTTTTGTCAACTACAGCTTGCTATTATCACCCATATTGGGTCTCAGTGCCCTTGCAACATGGAGCATTCTGAAAATGAGCGACTTATCAGGCCTCAAGTTTTATAAAGCTGTCAGGTTAGGCTGCACCTCACAATTTAGTGTTAAATTAGGTTTGTACTGCTTATTGATTCACATGCATTACATCTGATTCTCCATGTAGTTTGAAAATTCCTTTTAGTACCAAGGACAGTGTCTTATCTTCCTTTGTACTAGTGTACAGGGGTAGAATACTTCCAAAACACTTTTTCTGTGTAATATGGGATTTCACTATGCTGCCCAGGCTGGTCTTGAACTCCTGGCCCCAATTAGTCCTCCTTCATTAGCCTCCCAGGTAGCTGGGACTACACGCTTAGGAATATTCAAGAATGCTTTCTTCCCCACACAACTGAAGAAAAACAAGGTAGCACTTAAAAAGCAAACATTTCTTAACTTCTTCCTTTTTTTTTTTTTTTTTGGGACGGAGTTTCACTCGTTACCCAGGCTGGAGTGCAATGGCGCGATCTCGACTCACCGCAACCTCCGCCTCCTGGGTTCAGGCAATTCTCCTGCCTCAGCCTCCTGAGTAGCTGGGATTACAGGCACGCGCCACCATGCCCAGCTAATTTTTTGTATTTTTAGTAGAGACGGGGTTTCACCGTGTTGACCAGGATGGTCTCGATCTCTTGACCTCGTGATCCACCCGCCTCGGCCTCCCAGGTAGCTGGGACTACAAGCACCACGCCCGGCTAATTTTTTATATTTTTTGTAGAGACAGGGTTTCACCATGTTGCCCACTGAAGTCAAGTGATCCACCTGCCTTGGCCTCCTCAAGTGCTGGGATCCAACTTTTCTTTACCCCTTGCCTTCTGAAGGTTCTATGTTGAATGGATACTTAAAATAGAATCAGCAAAAGAAAAATAACATCAGTGTAGGTCCAGGACCCTGTAGGTAGTCTGGTGGGATCCAAATCAAGTCACAGGCTTAAAAGAATACCAAGAAGAAAGCTAACTTGACTACAGCATTAGCCCAGAATTGTTTAGGAACTAAGGGCCAGCGATGCCTAACACATGCCACAAACAACTCATCAGGCCCTTCTCTTTGAGCCATGGAGAAGAGGTGAAAAGAGCAAGGCGCTTGCTGCAACCCTGGCTCCTCCCCCTTAGGGAGTCCACAAGGCGGTATGCTTCTCCAGACCCAGGACCATTTTGGGCACTGGACATTTTAGTCTTTATAGACACCACCCTCCATATTTGTTTTCTCTCTCTTCACTGGCTACCAGGAAACTTAGCAGTATAGCTTTTGCCCACTTATAAGAACAATGAATACATTCTTATGAACATGACTCCTGAATGCATCTTTTCTCTTGCCCTTCCTATTTCATACATTACCCAACTCATACCTTCATGGAAAAAGAAAAATCTTGGTTTATTACATGTCTGTTTTGGGCATTTCAAATTCACTGGTGAGGAATTAAGTAATGATCCTTAGGAAATCACAATAGTGACTAAGATGAATGTTGGAATACTGCTTACTATGTACCAGGCATCATTCTAAGTTCCTATCATACTTCAACTGACTCTCATTTAATAGCCCTATGGACAGGAAAGCCCCAGAATGTCCTAAGTCCCATGTATCCCAGAATAGTGCTCCACACTTTTTTTTTTTTTTTGGGGGGGGGTTGGTTTCAAGACAGGGTCTCACTGTGTTGCCCAGGCTAGAGTACAGTAGTGTAATCACGGTTCACTGCAGCCTCAATCTCACAGGCTCAAATGATCTTCCCACCTCAGCCTCCCGAGTAGCTGGGACCACAGACATGCACTACCACCCACCATGGCTAATTTTTATGTTTTTACTTTTTTTGTAGAAACAAAATCTCCCCGTGCTGCCCAGGCTGGTTTTGTACTCCTGGGCTCAAGCGATCCTCCCACCTCAGCCTCACATGGT